TTTTTTACTTTTTTGTGTAACACAACAAATTCTTAGCAAATTACATCATTTATTTTTTTTTTTTCTCCCATTTTTTATTATTTTTTAAAAAAAAACAAGATAAGTGCTAATTTTAAATTTTCTGTGTTGTTTGGTGGGAAAAAAAAAAAGGGGGTCGTTTTGATATTTTTTTTTTTTTTTTTTTTTTGGGGGGGGGGGTAAATAAAGTCCAGTTTCGAGTTTGCTATGGCCAATGAATAAAATAAATTCTCTTAAGACCCATTTTTACTATGTCTATACAATATGCTGGATAGATGAGCATGTTGACATGAAAAATACTCCGGCCTGGTATGAACACCTGTCCTGTTCATACTGCTATCAAGAGGATCCAAGTAAGAGTGCCCAGGCTTAAAAAGTGGCCCACCGTTCTTATGTACATTGTATGAACAGAAGCCCCTATCCGATAGGGTTTTCGTGTTGGCCCATTAGAGCTATCCGGCAGGGTGTGCACAAAGTCTTAACCTCTATTTAAAGTAGATATATGCGCAGATTCCAGAGAAACAAGGACCTTTTACGTGACCCTGTTCAGTTGTTGTTTTCCTTTCTTTTTACATGTTATTTTAGGGCGACACCTTTTAAATAAGAAAATGGCACTATATATTTAGCCACCCAAGGCCAAGGGCTTTTCATTCGGGTCTCGTCTCCGAGTGAATTCGGCCGTTCGCCTAGGATTCGTCGCCGAATTAGGTGTCCATTTCGTACGCGGTTGCTGCCATTTTTAAGACACTTAAGCCCCGTCCACACACGTATCTGGATATTTTTGAATTCGCAACTTTTTCTTTCCGGATTCAAAAATTCCAACGTCCAAACGTATCCTTATTCAAATCGGGTTTGCCCGTCTACAGTATCCGACGATCTGACACGTATCGGGATTCACTCTAGTACCCAGGACTTGACAACAGAGCATGCGTCGTAAAGCGCGCGAAATTTACATCTTGCCCTGCCTTGAGAGAACCTAGGGAATGAGGTTGCCATCTTGAATGCAGTGTCTGCGGTAAGAACTGGGCTCGATCTTGTTACGTCACCGGTTAAAAGAATATTTGGATTAAACGTCCACACGATTCCAGATTCGTAGCGTATTAAAATTTCTTCTCTGGAGAACAAATTCAAAAAGTTGCCGATTCATACGCAGGATTCAACGGATACGTGAGGACGGAAGCCAAATCCAAAAAGACTGAAGTTGAGGATCAAAAATCTCCGGATACCTGCGGACGAGGCCTTAGCAAATTTTTGACCTGTTATTGAGAGAAAATTACAACCCAGGATCAAACTTCCACCTCGAACACGGACCTTTCGTATCCTAATCTCTCTCTCTTGCCACTACACTACCACATGCACCGACCCGCCAAAATTCCGAAAAATTTAAGGAAATACACTAGCAAACTGTCTTTCCTAACTGTTACATCAATAACAAGAGACCCTACCCCTTTCCGTGACTTTTAACGAAAATTCAACTTGGGATTCAACGTCGTTCTTTATAACCGCTATTCGAAAACGTATTTATTGCCTTATTGTTACTTAATCCGGGAAATATACCGCATCTATCATGGTTAAAGGCTTGGTTACTAATGGTGGCAGCGACCGTTAAAAATGGCAAAGACCATTTAAGGGAAATAGGCGTCGCTGAATGACACTGAGCTATAAATGGCCTAGGGACTTATGACTCTTCCAAGACTAACCCACCTTTAAATGCAACCTCATTCCGAGGTTCTCTCTCCTACCCGTCTCTGTCTCTCTCTCCCTCTCTCGCTCCTTAGGGACGGGTAGGAGAAAACCCTGGGAACGAAGTTGCTTTTAATTAAGGGTATTTTTAAATGCACTTCAGTATTTTGTGGATTTATTTTTCAGGCGTTTGTTTGAAATGTTACTTCTGCAATCCCTTCAAGGCAATCAGTGAAGGAAAATCTTTCACTCCTCAGCAATGCGAGCAAAATCAAACGGAACTTACTTGTCAAGCTCCATATGACAGGTGTATCAAGGCGCATCAAAAAAAAAAACATCAAGATGGCAGCGTTATTGAATATGAATTTAGAAGCTGTGCCAATATATTTACTTGTGATCAGTTCCAGACAAGTCTTGAACAGGCGCAGCTGAATGGTTGGGACACAAGCACTGCGTGTTGTCTCACGGAACTTTGTAATTCTGCATTTCAGCAGAATATGTGGAAAACCTGGTGGATGGTCAGCTTTTGTCTTTGCTGGACTTTGATGAAGATATAGACTAATTTTGTAGTGTGTTTTAGTGTTCATCATTCTTACTTTGCCTGTTTTTTCCTTTATATCCCAATTATTTAATACCTTAGGACTTATGTATTCAGTATTTAAGGATATTGGTATTTTAGTAACAATTGTATTTATAATAAGAAGGGAGACTACAGTGTGACAGTAATTATGCGCCCTATAGAAGTAAAGTGTCATTCATTCATTATAGCAATCGCGGAGCCACCTTTTATCGATAACGAGCCTTCAAAAAGGAATATTGGTTTTCTTTTGGTTTGCAATAATGTGTGTTTCCCAGGGGGGTACTCGGGATTTCAAGTGACGGGGATGATCGAAGGACTTTTTTGGGTTTTTTGGGTACGAAAATTTGGCAAATATTTTTTGGGGTAGCTTGATTTGAGTACGGATTTTTTGGGGTATTAAAAGAAATAAGTAGTGCCCTGACTGCGCAGTTTCTGCGAATAAAGTACAAACAAACGTGTTTTGCTGTTGTTTAATAGTTAACTATGGTGTCGCTTTACATCGCACGTGTTATACAATAGTCTGCATTGTTCCGTGGTGCCCGGCCGTGTACAAGACTTCAACGGCTTCAATTCAATTCAGTTGGTCCAGGGATTTTTTGGGGGTTTTGCTGGAAGCTCTAGGGATTTTTTTGGGTCTTGACTTTTGGCTCCATTCGATCATCCCCGTCACTTGAAATCCCGAGGGTGTGTTTCAGGCAAAACAATACCATTTTTCAGGGGCACCCGACGGCAATTTTCGGGAAAATATCTGTTCGGAAGACGATTTGAGATCTAGAATTTTCGGAGCATTTGTTGGAAAATTTCTTGCTTGCCTGCCTCTCCTAGGATTTTCGAACATCTACAAAATGGTATAATTACCCATTTTTAAGGATTTTGACCCTAAAAAAGGCCACCTAGAATTTTCGGGAGCCTTTTCCTGGCTGAAATTTTCGAGAAGGTAAGTTTTTATCCCTATAATTTTCGGATCACTAGGCTTTCAGCTAGGAAATCCGAACAGATGAAAAGTTTTTAGGAGATAAAAATATGCCTATATCTACCGTTTGAATACTAAAATACGTTCAACAATGCTACGTTAAGTGGTTTTGAACTATGTCCTCGTTGGGTGCCCCTGATTTTTGTTCGCAAAATTTGTTTGAACAAAGACTTTTGTTGGCAGCGAAAAGAAACTGGTTTTTTTGTCGACCAACATGGCCCCCTTAGCGTCAACAATTGTTCATTTCGAGGATGCGCTTAAGGCTGGGTCAGAGTCTGACTTGTCCCCAGTCGTCTCTCATTATTAGTATTTGGCGTGGAAGACTAGAACGGGCTCTTTAACGAAGGGGATAACCCAAGCACATAACCCAAGCGCTTCCCTAGTAAATAATTAATGAGTAGAGACAACTTAGAGACAACTGGGGACGAGCCAGGGTCAGAGTTGTGTCGAATTGCACTACGGGACTTTTTAGAGAACATTGTTGCTTCCTTTCCGTATAGCGCGTTTTCACAGCGGTGGCCACTGGTGTTCCAAAGCAATGAACGGCGGCTATATTGATGTTCCAAACCAATCCAGTGGTAGTTAACTCTTTTCTTATGCAAAGGCTTTCTATTGTTCCAATAAATTTGCATAGATGTAGACCACGTGAGTGAAAACGCTCTATACAGGTGTATTACGAGGTTACGCAAAAAACCGGATCAAAATGCGTCATTCAAAGCTGTTCCATAGGGCAATTCGACAATGAACACCGACCCTGAGCTAAAAACACCGGCTGAAAGTGGCCAATTTCTTACATTAGAGAAGACTGCTTATTAACAGACAAGTCATTTCACAGGAGCTGGGATCTGTCCGCGTCCTCCGCGCCAAGAAATCATAACAGGACCTGTGATGGTCTCTTGGTTTGAGCCCGAGTCTTGAAAGGCGGCTGTAATCTCTTCTTTAAAAACCCACGTCACTCAGATTGATGAAACATCTTACGCGCGCACTTCACAACTTCTCTAACATTGTAGATATTTTTAAAAACTATATTCACCACTTTTTGTTATTTCCGAACGTGTTTCGGTTATACATCCGTCAGTCACTACATATTTTCAATTTAATCACAGTTAAATTTTACAACGCGAGAAAAGAATAAGGCCCCGCTTCTTTGCACAAAAGGTATCCTGGGAAAAAGATTCATCTTCCAAACCGAGTCAACTTTATTGAGTGTTTACCATTTGAGAAATAAAAATGACCCCTTAGTCCGAGCCTAGAGCTGGCAAGAGCGCTCACGCCCGCTCTGGTTGTCTTAGCCTGAGAAAACAGCAAACATGCATGTACATTTGGCGACGCTACCACTGGTTTCCCCGCCAAAATGACGTTTGAGAAACGAGCTCAGCAATTCTATACTGATTACGCGTCACTACCCAGATCTCGGTAGTACTTCTGATTGGTCGTGCCGCATGGGAAACTTGATTCAACCGATCAGAAGCACTACCCAGATATTGGTAGTGACGCGTCATCAGTATGGAATTTCTGCGCTCGTTTCTCACAGTTCATTTAGCTGGAAAACCAGTGGTAGCGTCGCCAGATGTCGGCTGTTTTTTCATGCTCTGATTGTCTCGCCTTGACCAAGTTGACCCGCTGTTGGAGAGCCAAAGTGTTCTAATGGAGAAATATTTGTCCGGCTGAGAGGATGACTCTACAATCGAAAAAGCGTGACCAGCCTAGCCGGATCACCCTTCTATGAGAGTCAACGTTTTGTTCCTCATGTAAACAGTTTGCCAAGTTTCTTAAAGGAATGTATGGAACTTGGCTCGGGTTGGCGAGTGACTATTCTATCCGGGACAAGTTTTAACCATAACATGAAGAATGCCACTGAGCCAAAGTTTTCTGACCACTCGAAAACGAATAAAAGTAGCTGTCAATCACAATATCCATAATCATGCATCTATATATGATGATCAGTTACCAAATGTTAATTTATATAAATAAAGAAGCCCACAAAAATATCCTCCGACGATTAAACAATTATCCACAGAAAGCGAAGATACATTATTGCAAAAGTCTTCATCACAACACGAATATTCACAATCTCCTCCGGCCAGTATGATAGCCCGGCAAGACATTCCTATCCAATGACAATCCTGCTTCGGTACACATGCTCTACCTTCTACTTCATGTACTGATGCACTTGAATTTATCTCGTGATGATATCTGCCACAAGCCATTTCCATGTTATTTAGTGTGGTGCACGTCATCTCTGTCTCCTCCTTTTCACATGTCTCCATTGGGTAAGGTCGACCGTCATCAGGCCCCTTGCAATGGTAACACTTAAGGGAGTCAACTATTAAAGGAGTGAAAAAAAAAACCTTTGTTTTTAGGCCATTGGCTGAGCCTTGCACTTCATGATGGCCTCATTTTGTGTCATTTGGTTTTGGCAAAATGGCGGAATAAGAGAAAAATTTTCGGAGACTACAAGATTTAGATACTACTGTGTATAAACTGCCCGCTTCACTAGGCACTTTCTCCGTGCAACTCGTTGTTTTTAAGCCATCTGGGCTCCGTTCCTCGAAACATGGTTAAGTTTAACCCAGGATTAAGCCAAATTTTAAGCAATGTATTCTTGTCTAAGAACATGTAACTTAACTGTTGTGCCTTTACTTCGCAAAAAAGAAATGATGACACAAAATTTTTCTCCAAGCAAAGCATAGAAAGGTAAATACAAAATGTGGAACAAAATTTTAATCCTGGATTAGCCCTAATCAGCCTTTCAGGGGCCGGGCCCTGAGCCTTGCAATTTATGGCCCCATTTTGTGTCATTTGGTTTTGGAAACATGGCGGAATATTAGCAATATTTTCGGAGACTACAAGATTTAGATACTACTGTGTATAAACTGCCCGCTCCATTAACACTTTCTTCGTGCAACTCGTAATGAAATTGACGTGTGTGATTAACCTTCTTTATTTGGTGTACATAATGAACTTGTTTTTACTGTTCTTCGACAATTACTGAAGCGCACTCGCTTCGAGACAGACATTCTCAAAGTGCTATGAGTATTCAGCCTTATGAGGTTGTCATAAAATTTTAGTATTGAAAATCAAACGTGAAAATCAGGGCCAAGTGGATCATGACCGTGACTGAAACAGGTTATGAACCTAGAGATCCAAATTTTCATGTTATAGTTATCTAACGGAGAATATAATTATGGACAATTTGGTTGGAAACATTATTGTCACAGTTATATTAAAGTTATCAAAGATGCAAATTATTCGGAGTTACACCGGATAAATTTGCCCCTTGCTGGCCGAATCCAAATTCATTTCAAATTATAAATTCTGTTCTATGACAAATGCTATATAGAGAGGAAAATTTGACTGCATTTTGTTTGCGTTTATCTTCGCCCTCTAAAGTAAACCTTCATTTAATGAATTATGATTAATGTTTCTGGCTTCGCCAGAAGTGAAAATAGTAATTGAGCTAAAACAAAGCTGATACTTACCCTTGATTGCAGGCTGAAATAGCAAAAAAACAAGTATAACTCGGAAGCAATCAATCCATATGAACATCCTACTGTTGGCTTATTTCACTGCATAATGCATATCAAAGGATCAGTCAGCAACCGTATCGGAGTGCAAACTGAACCAAGACTGGCCAAGAAAAGTCTAATATTAATATTACTCCGCTGTGTGGCTTTCAAACTGACGGTTGAAACACTGTAGTTCACGATATGAAATTTTTTGCTAGTATAGTTTCCAATAAGCCTTTCTTCAAAGCGATGGCTGCAGCTTTAGTTGTTATCGGTCCTTATTTGCGATTCATCTCTTCTTGTGCGTGGTGTCTATTTTGCTGTGACGTCAAAGCGTCGTTCTAGAAACACGGAACGCTTTGTTCAAAACTTTTCCAGCGTGAATTATCCTTTCTATCTTTGTAAAGACGCAGTTCAAATAAAAACACAGCTGAAATTATCTTTTATTGATCTCTTGCACACTATTTAGACACACTTTACTGAATCAGCAGCAAGCTCCTACATGGCCATGCAGCGGGAGCAAAAGCGTATAAAATATTCACTCCTAAATGAAATAGTTCTCTGCTCTTCTAAATTTTCGTCATGCATATGCATCAGAATAGTAAGTATCATGAGAGTCATAAAAAGTCAAGTTTCATGCCTCACTACTTGGCAAAGCCCTTTCAAAATGATCTAGATTTTATTTTATTGATTTTATTAGCTTTGCACTGAAGAATACAAAAAAAAAAACACTGAAGACATGCAACCACTAGTAATAAGAACGTAACAATACACTAATAATAACTTAAATATTTGGGCAGAGACACCGCAACAGCTAAAGCCAATTATATTACTGCGGACCCAAAAAATAAAAAGATATACAAGTAGCAATTTAAATCGCATGCAGCCGCTAATTTCTTGGTCTAAAAACCTGGCTGTGTTACATCTCAAGCAAATTCTTTTGAAGCTCCTTGGAGAGTCCGCGAGTAATAACCGTAAAGAACAGATTTAAAGTTCTCAAAAGTAACATTATCTAGGTCAAATCTATTAATAAGCAGGTTCCAGATTCTAGTGGTTCTAATGAAAAAAGATTTCTGTAAGGTAGAAGTCCTGCATTTTTAAGGCACAAAAGATTTAGAGCTCGTAACGGATATACGGGTCCTTCACGCGCATTCACGCACGAAGGGAACAACAGACGGATCTAAGTGAATCATATTATGAGTAGCCTTGTAAAAGTATAGATCTAGCAACTCGTGCCAGTAGCACACAGGAAGTAGGTTTACAGACATTAGTCTTTCTTTGTAAGGGATAGTTGTTAAAAAAGGCAAGCTAAGAATGAATCTGGTGGCACGTCTTTGGATACTTTCGAGTTTAGAAATTAGTTCAACGCAGAACTGAAGGGCATCGTAAAATATTGGCAATAATTATTTCAGTTTTAGCATTGTTCAAAAATTGTTTACGGTACACCGTTATTTTCCAGTTTTTGCAGTCCCGAAAAAAAGTGGTTCCATTCAACCTAGTTTCCAGGGGTAAGCGTAAACGAGAAACCCGCGTCGGTTTCAAAAATCTCCACTCTAGTGACCATTTATGAAAACCTGCGATTCTGGTGCCCGAAAACGCCGTTTAAGTGTGAACGGAGGCTAAAAAGGAGGGAAAAAAATCCATGTCCTGATAAGGTGTAGACGAGGCCTAAACTAAAGGCACTAGTGGCTGCCGAGGTTTCATTATATTTTGCACTTTGATTTGAAATTCGAAATTGAAAAACATTTTCATACTGGTAAATATTAACATTTTCACACTAATAAGTTGGTATAAGATTTAGATGAATTAGAGAATCCGTACATTTATCATGAAAGCTGCGCTCTGTCGTCTTCTGGTTGGGCTTGATTAGGTTTAACATTTGCGGAAAATATTTGCTTCTATACTAAATCCAAATTACATGCAACAAAACATGTTTTCCTGTCACAATTGACAAGCAACAAACCCGATAAGCGCAATAAAAAAGGACAGCAAATCACGGCGATGGGCAGTATTACAGAGCGACCTAGAATCACAACATTGAGCAGCACAAATAGTGTCGTTTCTCTCCATATAATCTTGGCGGCAAAACTGTGCAGCTTCATTGCACTTGGAAGAGGATAAACAAGAACGTATTTCCAACACAATATCGATATTATTTTCGTTTTTAAACCTTCTAAAGAACACGCTACACTTTCCATAAGGACATGGGACTTTTTTTAAATCTCTATTACACTCGTCGGATCCATAACTCTGATTCAAAGACGAAAAGCTGCTTACTCCAAGACTTCCATTTGGAAATGGACCGTCGCAATGATAACACTCTGGAACGGGAACCTCGTCAAAGTCGTCGTTGCACAGATCATCATCACAACACAAAGTCACACATTCACTGCCATTTTTGGTTGTTTCATTGCACCGCACCTGAAGGCTACTGCACTTTTCTTTCAAGAGGCAGCCCTTTTCTTGTAGCTCAATTGTTTCATTATTTTCAGTAGTTTTGTTGCGACGATAATTCGCGCAGGTGAAATTTCCATCTGTGCATTTTTCTATTACTTGGTATTGGATGCACTAGCCAGAGGAATAAAGCTGACCATCTTGAGTCTGACAGTTGTAACACTGTAGGGAATTGCCTGAAAGAAGTGATCGCATCCATTTAATAACATATAGTGGAAGCTCTCATATGCGGCCTCCCTCGGGACCCAAGAAAGGTGTCTATTACCGGAGCTGGCCACTCACGAGAATGGTTCTCATATTAACCCTATTCAGACTGGGCTTTTTTGGTCAATCTGTGACTGGAGGGGGGGGGGGGGCTCCTCGGACCCCCCTCTTTATCTCTGGAACCAATAATGCTAGGGTCATGAAATTTACACACAATGATCATCTCCGTACAAAAAAGCCCCACACCCAGTTTTGACTTGCCACGCCCAATGATGACGTCACAGTGACGTCATATTCCGATTTTTCAATGTTTCTTATTATTTTTCCACTTAGATACGTAAAATATCAATAATATTGGTAAAGTCATCTCTTTGTTATCCTTTCTTATGAACTAGTAACAAGGAAACACTTGTACAGCCAGAAAAAGCAATAGGAAGCAATAAAATTTAAAATTTGAAATGGTTGTCCGCCATCTTGGATCCGCCATCTTGGATTTCCGTTTTTTTGTTAAAATTATAATTTAAAGCAACTTTCAAAGGGGAAAAAGCTCAGAATGTATAAAAGAAGTAGCAAACTAATGTTTATTACCCAAACAAATGACTTTGGAAGTGTTATTTGGAAAATAGAGCAGCATATTGGCAAAGCAAAAAAGTGACAAATTTTACCCCACCCCTCCCCCCCAAATATTCCATGTTGAAACATTTTGATGTAATTCAAAAACTAGTCCCAAGCAAAGACCATTTTAACAACAAAAAGCACTATAAGTGTAAAAACACGATCTTAAAACAAGAAAATCACCCTTTTATAAATTTTCCAAAACCTATGTGTCAGAAACTGGTTGCCATGGCAACATGATTAATCACATGGACATGGTATTTATACCAAAATGTTCCTAGATAAATTTTAGGAAAAGTCAGAAAATTTGAACGTCATAGCTCTTTCGGTGTAGGAGTTATCACGATTTTGCCGGAGGGGGGGTTCGAAAAGCCCCCCCCAGTCGGAATAGGGTGGTCACTAGAGATATAGGGGTTAAATGGCCGCGTACGAGAGTTGTAACTCTAACTTATGGCACTGACTCAAGGTGGCTGAACACAGTTTTGCGGGCGGTCAGCGGCAACTCGCGTGACGGCGAGTGTTGCAAATTAGACAAACAAACATGGCGGTGAAAAAGGAATGGTACACAGAAGACGATTTCTCAAAATCTACTCATTAAAATTTGTGATATTTGGCAGAGGTTTTACTTTTATCGTATTTTAAATAATGAGAACTTTAAAATGGAAGTTGAACAGACGAATTTTGTGACACTTTTAATAATTACACTACAATTTATATTATTGATTATCTAAGAACCCGTCTGTTAAAATTTGGTCAAACACGTTTCAAATGGTAATGATTAATTATAATAAGCTGTGTACAAGTTTATCGGAAAATCTAATGAGCGAATTTTATGTAAAGTGAAAATTTAATTTAATATTTTTCACTTGTCAAGTTTCAGCTTGTGAGCTGCAACCGTTTTCTTGCCATGATTTGGCAAATAACATATACTCACAAACTACCTAAACTTTGTTCAGCCACCTCAATGGTTCTGTATAGCTTAAGCTTCTGCGCACAGTATTTGTGACGTCTACCTGATTATGTTGAATGAAATCAATACTCAAAGAAAAATGATTTGTTTTAATATCATTAAAACATTGCGCACTTGGAGAAGAGGAAAACAAACAAACTATTAATACGAACATGACTTAGAAATACACACAAAGGAAGTTATCACTGGGATTACCGTTAGATTTGTAAAACTTCATCTGAAGTTAAGACTTTTAAAAGTATTTAATTAAGTTTGAGCATTTACCTGCTTTGAATAAGGTGATAAGCACAGCCAAGGCGGTGAAGAAACTTTTCATGGTGGTCTTTGTACTTGTCTTGATGTTTAATGAAAAACTTAATGAACTGAATGAAATAGATCACGTATACTCACTGACAATTTATACACAGACTGAGGTATTAAATACTCAATGTTTTAAGTACCATTCTTCGTTTCAACCAATCAGTGAAGAGCAATAAATATTGCAAATGCTGCCCAGTTATTAGGATTTATTTTATCTAATATTTTTCATACCCTGTCAACAGGAGTAAAGCCATTAAGAGATTATCATAGATTCCACCCTTCTATTACTGACCCGCCCAAAGGAGAGGACAGCACTGATAAAAAAAAAATTGGTTTTATTGTTTAACAAATCCAAAGAATCTCACAAGCAAATGTGTCTTCCTTTTTTCATTATTTACAGGGCTTGATGGTTTTCGCTCTAAAGGGGCTCATTGCATGAGACTATGCGCGACTATTAATTGCGCAAGATATGCAGATCACAGAAAAAAATTAGGAACTGTTAATGCCAATTCAACCTTTTCACTTCCTAAAGTAATTATGAAGACATGATGCTGGGTTCTAAATTTTGAGTCTTGGGAAAAATATCCTTTGTTACGACCAATTCAAATGAGCAGCAGTACTTCCTTCACCTGACACTATTGCCTAAAAATTGTTTTGTTGTTGTAAGAAATAAAATTCATGGCTTTTCTTAAACTTCTGGATTAAAATCTACCTCAATTCTCCCTTAAGTCTCTGTCTCGTACAGATATACCGTAGACAGTGATTGCTAAATTGACTCGATTACTTGACCAATAGAGAAGACTATACTGCTACGTGCTGGGCAATGACTACTCTTCAGATTTGCCGTTAAAAAAAAGAAAGAAAGAACGAGAAACTTAACCAAAAAATTGTCCGGCATCCGAAGGAAAATAGAGCCTCGTGACCATTACTGGTGACTGATCTAGTGAACTGCTAGTAACGTTAATGGCTATTCTTTGGATTTGTTTTTAAATAACCTCTAACAAAGAACGGACAACTTAACCAATGCAAAAAAAAGCTTACCTGGACCTATGAATCAAAAACTTGTTTCTTAAGTAAACTACTTGCTCTTTTGATCCAAACGCAATTTGATTCACTTACTTGCTGATATTTTTTTATCAAACCAATGGTAAAGGAGCTAAATTGTCTCAAGGAAAACCAACAAACAATTAAACTGAATCCAACTTAGCAAACACACAAAGAGAAAAAAAGCTAGATTATCCTTGGTATTCGTAAAACTAATGAACTTAAAACTAAAGTATCTAAATACGTTCGAGGCATTTACCAGGAACGAATAAGGCGATTAGTATGGCAGTGAAGGAACTTTTCATGGTGGTTTAATTGCGTGTGCTTATGTTGGTCACTTGGCGCGTGGACTATGTTTTACCTTTTACTTTAATCAACAACTGAAATATATTACGTATACACTTAAGGTATATTTCCACCGTTGTGTAATGTTTACGTGCGTACGTGCGTAAAATTTACGTTAGCAAATAAAGTAGAGGCAATGTAAGGAAGGTCGCACGTAAACGTAAAAGTTGAACCTCGCTCAACTTCACTTTTAAGCTCTGCAAAATTTGCCAATTAAGCCCCCTCTAAATAAGAACATGTTTAGCCTAAAATTTAAAACAGGTTCTTATTTTCTAAAATCTATCAAAAAATGTCTACAGTTAGACAAAATAAATTAAGTCAGCATTCACAATCCTTTTTGGAAGAAGGACCTCAAGTTTTTAAATTGTTGAAGTTGATGCTTTAGTTCTTCTTTATTTAATTGAATAATTGTCATACTCTGTAAATAGGGATTAAGCCATTAAGAATTAATTAATTAACATTAAGAATTAATTTAAAACTAGAAACTGGAAGATCTACAATTCTCACAACTCCTGAAGACCTTAGAATCTGTGATCACTGAAACTTAAATTCGGTTGAAAATGAACTGCACATAGTATTTCACTGTGATCTCTACAATGATTTGAGAAAGACTCTTTTTGTTAAAATCAACGACCGAAATACATTATTTACAAATTACAATATCCATGATTAAGTCTGTTTTCTTTTTAACAATACTGATTCACATATCAGCAGGCTAAGTGCTAATTTCGTCTTTCAAGCGACGAAAGAAACATAATTAATTCTACCATTAGCTGTTTATTGTTATTTTAATCGATAACACCTGTACAAAATGGTAATACTAGCTAAATAAAATTGTTGTTGTTGTTGAATTAGAGATTATCCCAGTCCACCCTTCTATTGCCCACCTAACGCCCAGGTCAGCACAGATAGCAAATTTAAAATCAATTTTTTATGATTTCACACATATAAAGAATCTGACGAACAAACATTTCTTTTTCTTCCATTAATGACAGGGCCCAATGTTTTTTAGTCTCGCTTGCATAAGCAACGAGACTCATAACCTGCAACGCTGAAAAGGTTTGAAATAGGGTAGGGAAAATCACAGATTTTCGTCTGAAATAGGGTAAGGGTTTCAGAAAGCGTGCCGCACACCCCCACCCAATTTTTCTGGAAGTACCCCCCCCGGAATTTTGGTCGTATTTAGGACACAAAAGGTAGGTCTTTGTGCCAGGCGTTCCTTGCGGAGACCGTGGAAACTGGGACTAAGAATCGTTGCGTGATCAAAGCCACGCATGTTTTGCAAAGAAAGCTTAGGAAAGATTAAATTTGGAGCTTTTCCGAAACGTGTCGGTCCACGAATTCTATCGCTTGAAAGAGTTGATTACTTTGGAACAAGTGAGCACTTCTGAGTTGGTCGAAAAAAAATAAGAATCTTAATTAGCAAAATTGCGATGATCGGGTGTGGTAAACTTTCACTGTATGCAAATGGTTCTTGTGATGAGCATGCCATTGGCCATGATTGAAATGACGTGCCATGTAAATCACTTTTTTTGTATCTGGCAATGATGTTATTTCTCTGGAATTGAGGCTCTTGAATTTTTGTGTATTTATACACGCAGATAGCCTGCTACTGTAGAGGTATTTCTGGTCGTACTAAATCAATTCAGAAACAAATAAAAAGTATCGACGTCGATAAAGTAGGAAGTAAAAAACCTTTAGCGAGTAAATTATGTTTCTTGTAGAATTAATCGCCTCCTCATTTCTCGATCTAATCTCCAAGCAGGCGAGACTGAATGCCGCTGTAAGCGCGTTCTTGTTCGCTTTAAAGGGGCTCATTGCGTGAGGCTATGCACGACTATTAATTGCGCAAGATATGCAGATCATGGACGAAATTGCGAATTGCTAATGTTAATTCGATTCACCGTTTTCACTTCCTTAAGTAACAACGAATTCATGATGATTCATGATGCGCAAAAAAACATCCTATGATGCGACCATTCAAATGAAGAGCAGTACTTTCACCAAGTAATGAAATTGTTTTACTGTTGTACAAAATTAAATTCTTTTTTTTTTTTCTACGGATCGTCATATTTAGATGCATGATTTTGGACATTAGGGCCATTTATACGAGAAAAAATAAGACGCGTCTTACATAAGACGCGTCTTAAATAGGACGCGAACTGTACTATTTATACGAGCATGTCTTACCTAATAAGACGCGTCTTAGCTAAGCCTCGTCTTATTTTAGACGAAATGTGCCGTTTATACGGAAAGTTCGCGTCTTATTTAAGACGCGTCTTATTTTTCGTCGTATAAATGGCCCTATTGTGATTGACAGCTAGTTTTATTCGTTCTCGAGTGGTCAGAAAACTTAGGCCCCGCGGCGTTCTGTTATGAAGGGTGTGAATAGGCGAACAGATCGGCGGATTTGAAAACATTTTTGCCCGGTTTCGGATTCAAAACGAGATTGAAACGGATTTCAGGATCCTGTTCAAAACTTTTTCACCGTAGATTATCCTTTCTATCTTTGTAAAGACGCAGTTCAAATAAAAACACAGCTGAACTTTTCCTTTATTAATCTCTTGCACACTATTTACACACACTTTATTGAATCAGCAAGCTCCTTCATGACCATGCAGCGGGAGCCAAAGCGAATAAAATATTTACTCCTAAATGAAATAGTTCTCTGCTCTTCTAAATTTTCGTCATGCATATGCATCAGAATAGTAAGTATCATATATGAGAGTCATAAAAAGTCAAGTTTCATGCCTCACTACGTACTTAGCAGAGCGGCTTTGAATATGATCTAGAACTGAAGGGTTTCGTTGATATTTAGCAATAATTATTTTAGTTTTAGCATTGTTCAAAAATTGTTTACGGTACACCGTTATTTTCAGTTTTTGCCGTCCCGAAAAAAAGTGCTTTCATTCAACCTAGTTTCCAGGGCCTAGAAGCCCGTATTCAAAAACCTTCGTGTTCTCCCTCCACCGACGTAAACGAGAAACCCGCGTCGGTTTCAAAAATCTCCACTCTAATGACCATTTATGAAAACCTGCGATTCTGGTGCCCGAAAACGCCGTTTAAGTGTGAACGGAGGCTAAAAAGGAGGGGAAAAATCCATGTCCTGATACTGTGTAGACGAGGCCTAAACTAAAGGCACTGGTGGCTGCCGAGGTTTCACTATATTTTGCACTTTGATTCGAAATTCGAAATTTAAAAACATTTTCACACTAGTAAATAACATCTTCACACTAATGAGTTGGTATAAGATTTAGATGAATTAGAGAATCCGTAAATTTATGTACAACTGCACTCTGTTTCCTTTTGGTTGGGCTTGATTATGTGTAACATTTGCGGAAAATTATTAATTACATGCAACAAAATAACTAATATGTTTTCCTGTCACAATTGACAAGCAATAAACCCGATGAGCGCAATAAAAAAAGGCATCAAATCACGGTGAGGGGCAGCATTACAGAACGACCTATAATCACAACATCGAACATCACAAATAGTGTCGTTTCTTTCCATATACTCTTTGCGGCAAAAGTTTGCGGTTTCATTGCATTTGGAAGAGGATAAACAAGAACGTATTACCACCACAATATCGATGTTATTTTCGTTTTTAAACCTTCTAGAGAACTTGCTACACTTTCCATAAGGACATGGGACTGTTGTTAAATCTCTATTACACTCGTCGGATCCATAACTCTGATTCAAAGACGAAAAGCTGCTTAATCCAAGACTTCCATTTGGAAATGGACCGTCGCAATGATAACACTCTGGAACGGGATCTTCGTCAAAGTCGTCGTTGCACAGATAATCATCACAACACAAAGATTCACATTCACCGCCATTTTTGGTTGTTTCATCGCACCGCGCCTGAAGGCTAAAGCACTTTTCTTTCAAGAGGCAGCCCTTTTCTTGTAGCTCAATTGTTTCATTATTTTCAGTAGTTTTGTTGCGACGATAATTCGCGCAGGTAAAATTTCCATCTGTGCAGTTTTCTATTACTTGGTTATGGATGCACTCGTCAGAGGTATACAGCTGACCATCTTGAGTTTGACAGTTGTAACACTGTAGGGAATTGCCTGAAAGAAGTGATCGCATCCATTTAATAACATATAGCGGAACCTCTCGTATGCGGCCTCCCTCGGGACGCAAGAAAGGTGTTCATTACTGGAGCTGGCCACTCACAAGAATGGCTCTCGAGTGGTCATTAGAGATATAGGGGTTAAGTGGCCTCTTACGAGAGCTTGCCCAACAACAAATAAACATTGGAAATGCCAAAAAAATACCGTTTGTTAGTGTTTGGTTATATTGTTATTCCGACAATGTTGCAATTCAGTCAGAATCATAAAATTCAACTGTGGTGTTTTGAAGTCACGGTCAACCGGACGCATGAATGTGAAAAAAACACTGAAACTGATAAATTCCTTGTGTCGAACAGCGATATGAAGTTAATATATTAAAATAACGATTCAGAGGCGAATGAGATTTATTTTAGTTTTCCTTATGGGAGCCTAAAAACAAAGGTAAAGTCTTGACTCGTAAACCCTGAAATTGGCCGCGGCCGCCTACGGGAATTGTCCGCTTGGCTCCGAATGGAAAACTACAGTGTTTGTAGTGTGAAAGTTGAAAAAGATCGGAGTTTAGTAAAGGTAGCCTTAAGTAGAGCTGTCCGCTTACGAGAGTGTTCTTTACGAGAGCTTTCACTGTGGCGTCTGCCTGATGATGTTAAATGAAATTATCGTTAAAGAAAAAATGATTTGTTTGATATCATTAAAATATTGCGTACTTGGAGAAGAATACTCAAGAAGGAAGTTATAACCGGATTACCGTTAATGTTTATAAAACTTCTGAAGTTAACACTTAAGTATCTAAATAAGTTCGAGCATTTACCTGCTTTGAATAAGGTGATAAGCACAGCCAAGGCGGTGAAGGAACTTTTCATGGTGGTCTTTGTACTTGTCTTGATGTTTAATGAACAACTTAATATATAGTGAACAACCGTAATGAACAACTGAATGAAATAGATTACGTGCACTGACAATTTATGCACAGACGGAGGTATGATACTCACTGTTTTAAGCACCATTCTTGGTTTCAACCAATCAGTGAACAGCAACAAGTATTGTAAATGCTACCCGGTTATTAGGATTTATTTTATCGAATATTTGTCATACTCTGTCAACAGGAATTAAGCCATTATTATAAGAGATTATCATAGATTCCACCCTTCTATTACTGACCCACCCAAAGGTGAGGACAGCACCGATAACGAAAATTATTTTTGTCATTTCACGAATGTATTTAAAGAATCTGACGAACAAACATGTCTTTTCTTTCATTATTTAAAGGACTTGATGTGTTTCGCTCTAAAGGGGCTCATTGCGTGAGACTATGCACGACAATTAATTGCTCAAGATATGCAGATCAAGGAAAAATTGGGAATTGTTATTCAACCTTTTCATTTCCTAAAGTAATTACCAAGACATGATCAGGATGCTGCGTTCTTAATTTTGAGTCTGTGGAAAAATATATCCTTTGTTGCGACCGATTCAAATGAGCAGTAATACTTCCTTCACCTGGCACTATTGCTTAAAAATTATTTTTAATTACTGTTGTACAAAATGAAATTCGTCGCTTTTCTTAAACTTTTGGATTAAAATCTACCTCAATTCATCCCTAAGTCTCAGTCACGTACAGATATACCGCCAGTCAACAGCGATAGCCAAATTGACTCGATTACTTGACCAGTTAATAACACCACAGCTACATGTAGGGACATTAATGACTTAACTCTTTAGATTTGTCGTTTAATAACCCCCATATCATAGACCGAGAAACTTAACCAAAAAAATTTCCTGCATCCGAAGGAAAATAGAGCTTCGTGACCTGTGACTGATGAATGATCTAATGAACTGCTAGTGACGTTAATGGCTATTCTTTGGATTTGTTTTTAATTAATCTCTAACAAAGAACAGGCAACAAAACGTTCACCTGTGACTGATGACCCAATGTTAAAGGAGCTAAATTGTCTCAAGGAAAACCAACAAACAATTAAACTGAACTCAACTTAGCAAATACACAAGGAGGAAAAAGTTGGATCACCCTTGGTATTCGTAAACTAATGAACTTAAACTAAAGAATCTAAATACGTTCGAGGCATTTACCAGTATCGAATAAGGCGATTAGTACGGCAGTGAAGGAACTTTTCATGGTGGTTTATTTGCGTGTGCCAATGGTGGTCAATTTGAGCGTGGACTATGTTTTTCCTTTTACCTTAATCGACAACTGAAATACACTTACTGAAGAATAAATTACGCGACTTAAAGTACCCGGATTTTAAGAACCTGTCAGGCTTTGCCAGTTAGCCCCCTCTATATAAGAACGTGTTTAGCCTAAAATTTGAAACGGGTTCTTATTTTCTAATAAAAATCTACGAAAAAATTCTCTACACTTGGGCAAATGAGATAAATTAAGTCAACATACAGAATCCTCTTTGGAAGTAGGACCTCAAAATTCTTGAAGTTGATGCTTTAGTAACGTTCTTCTTTTTATGGTGATTTTTACATAACTTCTTTTTTGGTATGCAAATTTTATATAAGGAATAAGCTGAACCACTAAATGCTCTTAGCTATAATGTATTTTTTCTTCAGGAAATAAGAACCTATTTAAGAACCTAAATAGCCTAAACTTGTGCTGACTACCATTTATATACCTGTTTAGGCTAACTTGGAAAAATCCAGGCTCTTAGTCGCTGGGTTTTACTGTACTGATGTAACTCTTAAGCATTAATCGTGGCCCAGAGAATAGCACTGTAAATCTTATCCGGTTATTAGGATTTACTTTATGGAATGATTGTCATACTCTGTAAACAGGGATAATAAGCCATTAAGATTTAGAGATTATCCCAGATTCCACCCTCCTATTACCCACTCAACGCCCATATCAACACAGATAGCAAATTTAAATCGTTTTTTTTTTTTTCATAATTTCACACATATAAAGAATCTGACGAACAAGCATTTCTTTTCCTTTCATTATTTACGGGACGTAATGTTTTTCGTTCTTAGGGGCCTTATTGCGTGAGACTATGCACGACTATTAACTGCACAAGATATGCAGATCACGGATGAAATTGGGAATTGTTAATGTTAATTCATCCTTTTCACTTACAAAACCAACAACGAATTCATAATGCTAAGTTCAGTGGGAAAAAAAACATCCTATGATGCGTCCATTCAAAATTGAACAGCAATACTTTCACCTAGTAATAAAATTGTTTTACTGTTGTATAAAATTAAATTCATGTTTTTTCATGTTCTCATACTCCCCGTAGCGTCTCAGTCACTTACAGATATCGTTGCGTGCTAGATCGAAATGAGCTAGACCAAAAGAGACGAGAAGTGTGACGTCACAAAAATTCAAAGTTTCATGAAATTATGCGGTTAGCATATTCAAAAAGGACACCGGTTTGCTGTAGCTGATGACTCCGCCTGTGCAAAACTTTAACCGTGATCTCGGCGAGATTTGTATTGTCGCAGAGATCTCGACAAGATCTCACCGAGATTTAGGCGAGATAAGCGAGATCTCGCCGAGATGACAGAGATCTCGTCGAGATTAACGAGATTTCGACGAGATCTAAGCGAGATTTCTAATGTCTCTGAGATCGCGACGAGATCTCGCCGAGATGAAAGGGGATCTCGTCGAGATTAACGAGATCTCGCCAAGAACTCGGCGAGATTTGTAATGTCTCTGAGATCGCGGCGAGATAAACGAGAACTTGCCAAGAACTTGGCGAGATTTGTAATGTCTCTGAGATTGCGACGAGCCAGATAAAGATATTTCGGTCAGATAAATGAGATCGCGCCGAGATCTTAGCGTGCTTTGGAGCAGATCTCTCCGAGATGAAAGAGATCTCGGTGAGATCTACCCTGGGTGCATGCTAGAGAGCTTTTCTAGTGCGGTTTCCGGTTTCTGTCTTGTCTTCGCGGCTTCGGCCTATAGCCGAAGATGTGTCGGCCACACCGAAAATTCTCGCCGCTCGCGAGAAAAACCTCTGGTACCCAGGGAAGGTGAGATCTTGTCGAACCTAGTGTCTCAGAGATCTCGGCGAGATAAAAGAGACCTCACGGAGATAAAAGAGATGTCGGCGAGATGAACGAGCTCTAACTGAGCCCTCGACGAGATCACGGCGAGATAAAAAAGATCTCGGGCGAGATGACGGAGATCTTGCCAAGATAACTCATAGTATCTCGCCAAGAATATTTGTGGTGGTTTCGCCTGCACGTAATATGTAGGTTGATTCACCCGATGACAAGCAAACTTATACGGTTTACCGAACATGTTTTTAAGGTGAAGCTCGGAATCTATTGCGCCGACTACTAAAAAAAAGTCCTAGCGATCGAGATAAGCAAATTCGAGAGATTGTACTCGTGTGGGTTCAAGCGTACTCTATCACAAAACGAAGGACCCCTTCGAAGTGAAGTTGTTTTAGAATATAAGTCTTTAGCTGCACTGACAGTTCATAAAAGTAAAAACTCAGGAGGATCGATAACTCTTCAGTGTTGAATTTTGGTTACGTCATGTGAAAACCACGAAAATTTAGCGTGTGAGGCGGGGTTTTCCATTATCTCATGCTTCGTGTTGTCTAAAATACCACTCACATTCCACAGATAAAAATATTTATTATTAATAATAGCGTAGGCGAAAAGTGTCCCCCTAGCCCTAACTATGTGAGGTTGGGGTACTTCCCTATTTGGCCTAAGTGGGTAATAACATGATGTGCCGACAGCGGCAAAAGATGGTATGGCTTTGGATGTACGCGTTTGTCAGGGCTATTCAACAGGGCACACATACAGCGTCTAATGAACAGCGCTTCTTTCTAAACTAAACTCGGCCTTGAACAGGGTATAATGTCGGCTATTGGTAAAATATTTCTGAAATGAAAAACAAGCCAATAGGGAAAAAGCAAAACTCACTGAAGATGTTTTTTTTTTCCTAAGAAAGGTGTTGGGGCGATTATTCGAGGGAGGCGATTACTTAAAACATTGCTCACTGAAAGGTCGTGCTGTATTTTTTTATTATTTTTCCATTAAATCAAAAAAAGATCGGCATCAAAAAAACTGAACATGGGCTTTTTAGTGCTCCAAATTTGGTTCCTTGATCACTTTTCAATGGCCAGAGAAGGCTTGGAACCGAGCACAATCAACGGCCTTTTCCGACAAGCTCGACAGGTGACGTCACATCCGAAATCACCGAGAATGACTGGGAGCGAGGCTGACTAAAAGTTAGATCTGTCCGGCCGGACCGGCGGTAGTTTTGAAAATGAAAGGGACGCATTTTTCTAGAGTTTTCGCAAAAAACCTATCACGCGTGCATCGGACCGAATTAGACTGCTCTAGCTGGTTAAACAGTCCTGATTAATAGTGAAGTCTTTATCGACTGGACTGGTTTGACCGGCCAGTTCTGACCAGTACATGGTAAGCACTCTCGGTTAGGGTTCAGAAAGACAATGGGAAGTCGAGAAAGTGAGCTACGCTTGTATTAGTCCACGCGGACTTGGATTTATCAACTGATGTTTCGAGAGCAAGCCCTTCGACGGAAAGAATGATACTAACATGTAGCTAGGGCCCGAAAGCTGCTATTAATTGAGACTGAGCTCGACAATTTTTCTTACTTTATTTGTCTTCATCGAAAGTATTTCATCTGAAAACCTTATCAGAGCGGGTTTTCAGATATAGAATGCAACGAAAGTAGCTAAGAGTGGTTTAGTACTGGAAGACGAAGGCGAAGATCGTTTTGTCGAGTCTTCAGTTAAGGAAGGCGGCTAAATTAAAAAGGTACGCTGCAACGCTATTGTTATAAAAAAGATTACCACACATTTTAAGCTCATTTTCACTTTACTTAAACTTCCGTGTTTTAGTTAAAAGCATGAGTAGTTGCCAGAAAATCTGGTATTTCGGTATCGAAACATTTGATAAACATGCAGCCTTTACACATTTTATCTCTTACACACATACACTCTTACTATTGGTTACACAAGCTATGGCCGCAGCATTTCAATTCGCACTCCGAGCCATAGTTATCTTGACAGTATCCTGGTGCCTGGAATTCTTGACAAATTTCTTCAGATACACATCCTTTCCCAAATCGGTTTATCCCTTGGGAATGCATTAACAGTACCCCGCAGCGATTTGCGTCTATGGGACAATTCACTTTCTGTTGATTCTCAATGCAGTCGCTCATGGAACTGTAGCTGGTGCAATGGAAACAAGACAGCAATTCATCTGATGCTCCTTTTCAACAAAAACAAGCAGAAGGTGTCAGTAATCACTAGGCAGAAAAAAGACGTAAATAAAAAACTGAGAGTGAGTTTATCTGGAATGAGCCTCACTGTGGCACAGTAGGGTTTGCTTTAAGACCTTTTTGCGAGGGATTATATCTATGCCTTTTACTTCATGAATTCAGTCATTTGTCACTATAGGCATTGCGCAAAAATAGACCATGTCATCATTCTTTCATGAGGTACCCCCACAAGAAGGGCCCCTCTCCGATCCAGTAAAGAGAAGAAATGACGTCTTAGGGGTTAAATTATTTCCCTGTAAGTTAATGAGATTTTCCCCGCATAAAACGGTTTAGAACATCCCGACTACACTACTTCAGTGCTTATGGGTGGTTTTCACTGTCACGCCATCGAAAACTAAAATCAAAACCGTGGAATGTCTGAAGCCAATTATTTCAGATATTATAGAATATCGATAAATTAACAACCTGGCCACGACTCACGTCTGTGCAGTTTTCCGCTGCTGAGTTGTTCTTCAAAATGTGCAACAGAAATTTATAGGGCTCACTATGGGGACGCCACATTTGTGCTCATCCGAAGGGCACAAATATGGCTGCCGGAAATAATGCAAACATCTGGTTTCAGTATCGCCACAAATTTGATCAGTTGTTCACTGTGAACGAGAAATTATTTCCCTAAACAAATCTTCTAATACTTTCACCATTCAAAGGGCATAATATCAAGTAATAAAATTATTTTTTTAGCATATCCGACGGCTTCTCGGTCGCCAATTGGGAAATTAGAAAGAGCTATATTTTCAAAACGGAAAAAACTTTCACGTTGAAAACTTGCACAGAAGTTTATTTTTAAGGGATCCTTAAAAGTCCTTGCGATTTTAGAGTTTGGATTTTTGTGACGTCACAAAAACAAAGAATACCAGCAGGACTTAAATCGAGTTTTGTGGCCTTGCAGTCAGTATATTTTATCCATGCATAAGTGCCGTCACTTTCCTGCCAAAAAGACGTCGTTTCTAAAATATAATCAAGCTGCCAAAACATTAACATTCTTGCTAAAACAGAACGTTTTACCCTCTACGTTCTTCAAACGTCACAGGGGCACCCAACGGGAAATTTTGAGAAAAAGACCTAAAAACAACAACAAAGCGTGAATAAAGTTTTCTGAGACTATTTTAAGCATTTTGGGAGATTGCTGGAAAAAAAATATCTGTTCCTCACTCCCAGCAAGACTGATGGAAGAGTTCCCAGCCAGCAACCTTCCAACCTGCAACTTGACTTACTGGGAAGTTTCATAGGGCACAATTCAGATCTTGAGTGGTAAGTAACCCATACAAGTAACCCGTAGCAGCTATTCTAGACTTCGAATCCCCTCTGACACCCTGAATTATCTTTTTCCCAGCAACACTTTCCTTCCAAGGACTATTATTTCTTTCACATCTCCCAGCCAGCAAAAATGTGCCTGAAGAACAGATATTTTGAGGAACAGATCCATTGGGTGCCCCTGACGTCATGCAAATTAATGTTGCAGATTGCCATGAAATTTTAAGCAAAGGCCTGCAAAGTAAGTTGACGAGGGTGATAAAGTCGTTGGAATTCCGTGGCAAGTTGAAGCGTTAATATGCTTGTTTACTCCGCGATTAGCTTGATATAGCAGTACAAAGAACTCTTTTAGATTTGATTTGACGGGTATTATTGGGGAAGAATTAAAAGCAATTATTCTAGTTTTTGCTCCTATTTTTCTTCGGCCTTCAAAATTCTTGCAATTATACCCTCCTTGCAAAAGTAATTATATTTAATACTGATAATCTTTTTTAGTTACTACTCACCCAGATGAATCGACAGGATGTTAATCACAAATAAGACTGCCAGGAACTTCATTCTTACTTAGAATATAAAAGCGTCAAGCGTTGAGGAATAGACGACTTGGAATTCGCGAAATGCTCTGAAGTTAACTTTATCACTGCTTTGTTTATTTGAACAGCTTTTATGTGTTATTAATTCAACTTACCTGCTAATTTGTTTCAACCCTATTTCATCAGACAAGTGAAATAACTTTTTTTGAGGAATTTAAGAACTTGACTCTTTAAGCAATCAGAACAATTATGCTATTTGACAGGGTAAGAACCTCTTTGAAGTCAATTAAAATTGCTCTCCGGTAACAATTTATTTAGTTATCAATCTGTTAAAAGGTATTGACATATAACTTTAATCGCAGTAAATGTATGAAAAACAGTTACCTAGTGGAATGAGACTTGAGCGCAAAGAAAACCAAACCATTATAGAAAATTGCCCAGAAAGCCTCGGAGTCATTGAAAATTTCGAACCTGGGCTATTGTGGATTTGTCTCCATGTAGCATGAATCGAAAGGCAGATTCCTGCATGGGAAAATTAAGGTTTGACGATAAAAAGCCGAACTGAAACGCACCTCTGAAAAACATTCAGAGCCTGCCGCCTAAGCAAACTCGTCAGTGAGAAACACTCACAAATGTTGTTTTATCTCAATGTTCGCTCTTATTTTGAAACTACTAGGTCTAAATTGCTTCAATGTTCTCTATAAAATTTTTTTGCCGTCGAAGTTAATCGCCAAAAGTATTCTTGATCACCAAAACGGCCATAAAAAGTCAAAACAACGCCGACCAAGTTTCTCACGAGATGTCGCGATTAGGGACACTAGGAGATAATAATTATATACAAATATGGGTCACCCGAGTTTGTAGGCCGCTATAATCCACGCACGATCCGCACGCGACAAATCATAAACCTTATGTTGCACAAGGAATAATGGAAAGAGGTAGGGATCTTCACGCATTTTCCTGATAGTTTGGCTGAATGGCCTGGTGGCTAACATTACACGAAAGAAGTGGTGGAGTCTAACCAACGTCTCATTCTGGGTCAAATTTGACGAATTTAAGAAAGAGGGGCTAAGGTAACGCGAATTAAGCCTATATCACTTTGTCAACCCGGAATGGATCACGTAAACTGTATTTAAGAGTACAGAGTAAATAAATAATCATAGGCCTTTTTACAACTAGCCATTCACTTGGTACAAAACCGCCATACTGGAGAACAAGGGACGCACTAGAACAAAGACAAACAAAAGGTCTTACAAAATTCAAAATGGTAACCTCTTTTGTTTGTCTTGTCCCAGTAGGTGGGAAAATTTCTCTCAAAAAGCCTTATGACCAGTAAACTATTCGCAAATTAATACAACGTAAAATGACAGATGTCTTCGCGAAACAAAACTTTTCCCCTTTGCTTTTGCAAGCAAAACATGAACATCGTTTTAACGAATCCAGTAACCATATATACTTCACTTCTTCTTACAAGCATGACTATTCTAACTTTTATGTGGACTTTCGTCTTTGTTTCTGCTTAGTCACCAATAATCTTTAACGAATAAACAAGCAAATTTTCGTTGTTAGCTAGAGAAGTAGCATTTTTCCCCTTCAAACTGGACGATTGTGGGGGGTTTGAAACCAGCCGGCAAAGGAAGCGTTGTTTTTTTTTGTTGTTGTTATTTTTAGAGCGGCGCGTTAAGAGAGTTTTGCAGTTAATCAAAAAACGAATGTTTTATTAAACTATGTTATAAAAAATTGTTCATGCTTTTAACTGTACATGAGAGAGCTACGCACTACGCATCTCTGGTGCGTCATGTGCATCCAAAACTCGATATACACACGCTCGGGCCGGCAGGAACGAATTCTTAAAGAACGTTGCGTTCTTTAATTGGTGCTCTAAGGTTTCCTTAATCGATAGTGTTTTCTACATCAAGCTTGTCTTTAACTTGAGATGAAAACAAATCTGATTATTTTTTTCAGTTAATGGATCGATCGTTTAACGGTTTCGTATCAACGCTTTTCCAAGAGTAGTTCCCCTTTGTCACGAGGATTCAACGATATTCACTTAATTCGCGTTAGGTGAATATTTGTTAAAATTTAGTAAAAGGTGAATAGAGGTTAGGTGAATATTTGTTAAAATTTAGTAACCCAAATCTTGGTAATAGAGTTACGCCTTAAGTTTTAAGGAGCAACATTAAAAAGCATGAACTAGGTTTGTATATTTAATAAATTAATCTTCCTTACTTTTTTGCAAAATGGCTGTAAACTGAATTTTTAAGTATTTGAGTGCCTTGGTCTTCTAAATAACAAACAAATTATAACCTTAAAACTAATCTTTTCTTAACTTTTGGCGTAGTTTTGACATTATTTGAATTGTAATGTAAACAACTTGAACTTTTTTAAACGTCTGAAACTTTTAGCTGTTTTAAATTTTCTGACCTAGTTGGATCTTAACGATATTAAACCTACTGATTCAGAGACATCACTTTGATTCATATGGGGACAGGACTTTTTGCTTATCCAAATCATAAAAATCGCCTGGGGTTTAATCCTTATTGGTTAGCAACCAACTGTGGAAGGGGAAAAGGAATATCAATTAGTCATAATGTATGCTTTTTCAATCAAATTTTGGGTTTGAGTAGCGGGTGTGGTGGTTGGGGAGAGAGATTCGGAGAGTCTTTCAGGTACTGCGCTGCTACAACATTTCACTTATCGCACGCTAGCTAGTGACTGTGTACTTAATTAAACAGTGCATTAGCTGATAATGCAGTCACTTAAGCCATTAACAAAATCTGTGTTGGTTCATCTGCCAGCTTAATGGATTTCTAGAGAAGACTGCAAAACGTCTTTCATACTAAGAAGCAAGTGAAATTTCCAAACTAATTCCATGATGAACATGATCCCTTTGTTCCCTGGCCTTTGAACTAGCGCCTTTATACAAAATCAGTACGTTTTGATATGGTTCGCCCACCATTTTAGGTTTTAAGGAATAAAACACTTATTGAAAGTCTTACAGTGCGAATTTCCAGTGCAATTAACCCATTATTAGGCTGAAAAAACACACACAGTAAGAAAACAGAGCAAAAATGGACAACATTGGTTTTCACGGGTGACATCCACGCACAATAATTGCAGTAAAAAATGAAATCAATTTCTAAAAATCCATTTAGAATCATCCGCAAGATAAACAGCTTCGAAATTTTTCAGATAACTCTCAAATAACCCTCGAGCCACAAACTCAATTTTTTCCTAAGGTTTAAATCCTTTCCTGCTTATATTCACAGGTGCATCCTTACATACAATGCGCAAGGCTTGTTTTAATTCAATTTGGATCAAGAACCTATTCTCAAGCAAAATGAAGAATCATCAACACTTCTTAAGCAGAAAATTGTTAAAAATCAATTAAAACAAAAACATGAAATAGCTTTTTCCCATTTAAAGCTAGTCAAACAAACAGAATATAGACTGCTATCAAAATGTGGCAAAGCAAATTCGTTCCAACAAATCGGCTCGCTGCTAAACTAAAAGAACTCCTGCTTTTCGCTCCTTTACTATGAAGTTCTTAACTGCCTTTCTGGTTGCAGTGGTCGTAGGACCTTTAACCGGTAAATTGAACCATCTTTTTATAGCCGTCTAAAGACTACGATTATCTTTATTAACACCTTAAGGCTGCTGTTATTCACTCAGTCGACATATGAATTTTACGACTATTCACGGATTCTTAGCAAATCGCTCAAGTCGGTTGCAAAATCACAAACTAAACTGAAATTACTCGCAGAATATACCCATATTCTAAATTCGCAAGATTAAATTACCGTTACTAAAAGAGAGATTAACAATCACTAAAAAAGACTTTCTTTGGACAAGAATTTTGATTTAAGAGTTGTAAGTGTTTTTATTAAAATATTTTAAATATTTTAAACTCTCAGATGTAACTTAATTAGTATAGAGGAATACCTCTGACTTCAGTCGATAAAAACGATAAAATTAAAATTAACACCAGGCCGGTATCACACATTCAAAGCCGCACTGATTTTTCCTTATATTTGATCGTTGCCCTTCACTGAAGGTGACAGAAACATTTTTGTGTGTCCTTCTTTTATAGTAATGGGTTTACAGTGTTACAGGTGCGTAAGTAATAAATCTAAAGAAGACTGCGCTTCTCATGCGGTTAAAACCACGTGTCCTAGTGATCTGGCAAACGCCGTCTGTGCTGAAGGGGACATAATGATTGAAAGTGGAGCGATATCTAGCCACATTTTCCTGAAAGGTAAGTCATTTGCGTTATGAAACAAAAGAATCAATTTGGCAAAATTCAGGGACGTTTCGTTTTCTACCAATTTTCCTTTTTTGAATAATGAAAGGTGTAATGATCTCGAAACCACCCCGAAATATTTTGATTTTCACAACCACCACTAATTTCGTTTAAATGGGACGAGAAATCGGCAACTTTCTTGTAAGAAGCACCCTAAAATCTCATTAACAGCCTAAGACTTTTATATAATGAGAGGCCGCGCACACGATGCAAGACCTGTCTTTTCATTCACGGTGGGGCCCAACCACCCCTTAAAAGGGATCATTAAGGCTGAATTTACGTTTCTTTTTCATCACTTTGTTTGACGCAAAAAAAATGTCAAATTATGACGTCTCACCGGCTGACGTCACGAAAATGGTTTAAATGAATATTTTAATTTCAGTAAAGTCAAACTTATATCATCTCAAAGAGATTTAGAGGGGGAGTACAACACTAAAAACCGTTTCTTCCTACGACACGTAAACTCGAGTTATGGCCATGGGACTTCAAAGATATTAATTTAAGTGACCCACTGAAACCGTAATTTTCCTTTTAAAAAAAACGATCCGTATCATTTTTTTCAAAATAAGCTGATTTTCCTGTAACATAAATCGCATTATTTTAGTTTGTTTTTTTTTTACTTAAAAACGCTAATTTCAGAAAAACAAAAAAACGCACATGACATTTTATGACGTCACAAAACTTTTTTGGGTTTTTTGGGCGGTAGGGAATCTCAGTTTTCAAAATTTCTTTGTTCCTTTAGCTTTTGACAATAAAGATGTGTTGTGTTCGTTCTAAATAGCAATGGCTACACGAGAATATAACGTTTAAATTTGGAATTTTCAAAATGTCAAATCTCAGCTCCTATCTGAGACTTTGGGAACATTTTTCACCTTTCAACTTCCCCTGAATAGTTCTTTTAAAAATGTTATAAAAAAATTGGGAGATTTACAAGTTTAAATCTTAAGAATGAATGACGTCAGCAAATATGACGTCATAATTTGACATTTTGGTGTCAAAATATATGGTAATTTGATTGGCTGATATTTCTTATTTTCAGGCCAGGCGGATTAAAGTAAGGGTTCAAGCCAACAAAGTGTTTTTTTATGGAAATGCTGTTAATAAACCATTATAAATTATTATAATTATTATTATTATTATTATTATTATTATTATTATTATTATTATCATTATTATTATTATGGTTACTATTGTGAATGAACCAAATTGCCACGCTTTGATGATCCCTTCGTGACGTGATTTGGCCCCGTCGTTTTTATAATAACAACGTCAAGGACAAAATTTCGGGACTAAAAGGTTTCTTTCCAGATTTGAGACGTTCTTTCTACAGCAGGGACCGTGGAGCAAGGTGAAAAGTGACAATTGAAAATAATTTTCTCTAATAAACGACCAACATACACTGTCAGTTCAGATTCAATGCAAGAAAAGAGGCGATTAGAATTTTAGTATAGAAAATACTACACTGAAGTGATCTGAAACATTTCTATGGCCGTTCACTGTTCAAGTAATGTAATTCTTCTTGCCATCGAATATTTCATTGATTCGAAAGGAGAAAGACAAAATATAAAACTTTTATCAACTCAAAACAACTACTCACCCTCGTTTGGCTTGAAAAAGCTAGTAATTTTCTTCATTTCGTCTGATAAAACTGATAAAAAACTCTGCCGGAGCTGGAAGTACAAAACACACTGCCGAACGAAGCGAAGGGGTGGCCAAGGCACCACCGCGGTCAAACGTCTAAATCATTATTTTTGTTTTTTATTGCTGGGATTTCATTTACCAGTTAGAGAAAAATGGGCAAAGATGTATAAATCAGTTAGTCAACATAACTATCTTTCCATTTTTCTCAAAATTTTGAGCTTTTTTTGCTGAAAACGCTTCGCGCTAAAAGAGAATAATGTTTGAAAATGGCGCCGATAATAACGTCAGCATCGGTTTTCAATCACTTAGAACTTTTTTAGTAAACTTTTAAAAAGTTTAGTAAACTAACAGGATGTTGGTAATACCCTAAACTTTCGATAGTGAAAGTAGCAACCTTAACTTTGAAGTATTTCGCTTAACTTTTGCAAATTTCACTCGTTTGACCGCTGTGAAGGCCAAGGCATGGCGTTTGATCAAGGGGCAAGTCGGCCCCAGGGCTTGACCCCAGGGCACAACTACCGCGAAAAGTACAGGAAACCCACAAAATGCCTGGCGTTTGAAATTAAAGAAAATACAGAGAATATAGCGGAATATAGACGGAAAAAAACTTGTTTCAAGTCTCTTTTTTTATTTTAATTATTTTTCTTTTTAGCACAAAAAGTGGGGGCGGGGGCGCAAAAAAGTGGTGGGGCCGCGGCCCTACCAGCCCCTCCCCCTCCGCGGTCCCTGTACAGTGTAACTATACCCCCGGCGGAGTTTGCTTGTGATCTTTCCTTAATGATTTACGATATCTATTCATTTAATTTTGATTAATTGATTGTGCTCAATCCAAAGCCTGTGCTGATCCAATGAAACAGCCGACCATCTGTAACCAAGAGGGAGTTAAATGCAACATTGAATACTGTGACGGTGATTTATGCAATGGCGCAGATGATGGAGAAGGAGAAGAAGGTGTGTTAGAATAAAGAGTTTCTCGTTTAATTCTCGGAAAATCTCGCTGATCCACCAGGTTTGAAATTTAAAAAAACTCAAAACAATTTTCAAGATGTAAACGCCGTTATACTTAATCAGCATCTTTTCAGTGTCACTTTTCCTTGCCCTGGGGAGTTTCTTTCTGTATTGGACAAACATAAAGGTTTTTAACGGACTAATATTATACTGGTACACACCAATCTCAGAAGGTTCAGCTCAGTAGCCTAGCTTAACCTTACTATCAGCATCCCGATGAAGTTATTTATTAAAATATTTTTGCCTTGAATACAACACTAGATTTATTCGCTTTATATAACAAAGCTAGGACGTGATATCATTGTTAATGGAGTCATCGTCTTATGTAGGTGGTTCAGCAGAGATCTTCTCTTGTAATCAATGCCTTAGCGACACCTCAATTGACGATTGCATTAAGAACCAAAAGGAAGCAGTCTGCCCAGATGGCGTTGATCGATGCGCCATGTTGGAATATCATTCCCCATCATTTGGGACCACCATCGCCAAAGGCTGTATCCCCGAGGACAGTTGTCGGCGTCAGTGCGAGGGCCTACTTCCACCAGGATCGTCTTCCAGTGACGTTCACTGCAAATTATCATGTTGTGAGACTTCAATGTGCAATTAAAAGTCAAAGAATAAGTGAATGTATGGGAGACATGCATGCTATTAATAAAGAACACTCTTGGTGGTGAAGGTTGCTGAATGTTTCCTGACGTTACGTGTAGACATACTACAATTGTAGCTAAACATGTCAACTTAGAACCGCGGAGTGGACTTGCATTAAGTTCATGGTCAGTGAATCGATCCGCCAGAAAAATAGTACACCTGGCTAACGGTTTACGTGTAAAAAGATATAGATCCAGCCAGGGCTAAAAGCGAAGCTCTCGTTGATATGCGTATAGTTCACCCAAACAAAAAATAAATTCGTGTATTGCTGAACGGCAACGGCAACGAGAACGGCAAAAAAATCAAGTAGGTCTAATTAGCAAACAAAAACCTTCCTCGTGTAGCACACTTTTTAGTACGTTTCGTTGCCGTTGTCTTGCACGACTACAACGTGAAACGTCCTAGTTACACGAGAGAAAATGTCGCTATTTTCTTCACTGCCGCTCATTTTCATCTCGGTGATCGCTTGCATTTCTCATTTTTTCACCGCGCTATAAAATTTTCATGTTTTTCCTCCAACGAAATTCGTTTCCGTTGTTTTTTATCTCTCACTCTTAACTAGCTCTTTCTCAGTTATCCACGTCAGTGTAGACATTAAAATTTAGTCTCGGCTTTGTTGTTATTTTTTCTCAAAACGCCAAGGTGTTTGAAATTACATCCCAGCTTACGTTAAGGGGTGGACACACATACAGACATAGATAACCAAATTTTCTACGCTTGGTACTCTAGGGGTTTGGAGAATTTTGGACAGTTAGGCAAACCCCCGACTTCGAATTGCCCCGAGTTTGCATAACTGTCGAGAATATTCTCCCAGCCACCTTCGTGTTTATATCAGGTTATGCAAACACGGAAAACGCTTTTTATTGCTTGAATATAGAAGAAAAACAATGAAATTCAAACAAGATATTTTGCCGCGTTGTAACATCGAGGGGGCTGGCTAGCACGTTCTCTCGCTGCATAATTGGACAGCTTACTCGCAGGCTAATGTCTATAGAACTATAGGATTCTTAAAGTCTTCGGGCAAGCTGCCAGCATTCTATCTAGCGTATTTGAGGGGTAAAAGCTCCCCTCACCCCCCCACCCCCCCAAAATGTTGTTAACATAACTAACAGTATATAAGTAATTCAGGGCCCAGTTGTTCGAAGGCCGATTAGCGCTTATCCCGGGGTTAAATTTAACCCTGGTTTCTTCGTCTTGTGTTCAAAAGCCTTTTCTCGGATAATTTTGTCTGTTAGTTTTAGAGCTTCCAATCATCAACTTGTAGACAAAAAGAATTAAAACTGAAATGCTTTTTAAGCTTTCAAATCTGAATTCAAATCTCGCACTAACCCTGGGTTATCTTAACCCAGCTTTGAACAACTCGGCCCAGGACTTCAACGGGGTTTGAACCCGTGACCTCGCGATTTACCGGTGCGATGCTCTACCAACTGAGCTATGAAGCCACTGACGTTGGAAGCAAGTCAATTGTGGGTTCATATGTTCCTGTGAAAGAAATGAGTGTTAATGATATATGAAATAAATCATATATGAACTGCGGAAATGAAATGAAAATGAAGAAATGATCGTCGCAGTGAACGCAATTTATGCAATTGCGATTTCAGGCTTCTTTACGCAATTGCATAAATTGCGTTCACTGCGACGATGTGTGAAGCCGGCCAAGCGTTGTGCGTGTGTGAAGCAAAGCAATAGGCCATTTTACAGTTGTGTGCTCAGTGCCCTGGCCTTTGAATAGAAGCGAGGATGGACGTGACCTTGTTTTGTTACAAACCTTCCTGCTTTTCATGTGCAAATCGTGGTATTCTCATGCTAACAAGCCAGTGAACATGATAGTTTACATATGAAAAACAAGACGGTTTGTAATAAAACAAGATCACCGCCAGCCTCGCTTCTATTTAAAGGCCAGGGCACTGATGAGTACACAACTGTAAAATGGTCTATTAGGGACTTTACTATCTAACGACGCGACGGAAAGGTCGCTAAAAAACTGAGATGAATTTGCGTTCTTTCNAGAGCTTCCAATCATCAACTTGTAGACAAAAAGAATTAAAACTGAAATGCTTTTTAAGCTTTCAAATCTGAATTCAAATCTCGCACTAACCCTGGGTTATCTTAACCCAGCTTTGAACAACTCGGCCCAGGACTTCAACGGGGTTTGAACCCGTGACCTCGCGATTTACCGGTGCGATGCTCTACCAACTGAGCTATGAAGCCACTGACGTTGGAAGCAAGTCAATTGTGGGTTCATATGTTCCTGTGAAAGAAATGAGTGTTAATGATATATGAAATAAATCATATATGAACTGCGGAAATGAAATGAAAATGAAGAAATGATCGTCGCAGTGAACGCAATTTATGCAATTGCGATTTCAGGCTTCTTTACGCAATTGCATAAATTGCGTTCACTGCGACGATGTGTGAAGCCGGCCAAGCGTTGTGCGTGTGTGAAGCAAAGCAATAGGCCATTTTACAGTTGTGTGCTCAGTGCCCTGGCCTTTGAATAGAAGCGAGGATGGACGTGACCTTGTTTTGTTACAAACCTTCCTGCTTTTCATGTGCAAATCGTGGTATTCTCATGCTAACAAGCCAGTGAACATGATAGTTTACATATGAAAAACAAGACGGTTTGTAATAAAACAAGATCACCGCCAGCCTCGCTTCTATTTAAAGGCCAGGGCACTGATGAGTACACAACTGTAAAATGGTCTATTAGGGACTTTACTATCTAACGACGCGACGGAAAGGTCGCTAAAAAACTGAGATGAATTTGCGTTCTTTCAGCCCGCTTTATCGCGATTATTCCTACTCTGCTTACTTAGTCAAATGTTAGTAAACCCTCCTGAAGTTGAATTCCAAGCGACCCTATCCCAGTTCAGAAAGAGAAATAAAATTTCGTCATTGCTTGCTTATGTTCTCCACAAAACACGAAATTAGGCATTTTCACATCATAGTCGTGTAAAAACGGCAAAGGAATGTACAAAAATGAATGTGATGCACGTGCATTTTTTACGTTCTCGTTGCGGTCGCGTCGGTGGATCGTTAATTCACTATTGACATGGTTGAAGAAAACTGTCAAAATTGACCAATTACAGGGTATACCAGGGGCTGGTATACCGGAATGATGTATTGAAAACAATGTTTACAGGTTCCACTTATCCGTCTCTCCCCAGCTCCCCTGCGGTTTTCGCGCAACTTTTGTCCATGCGCTTTCCCCACTATCTTGGAGCCTGGAACTGGCTATCGCAGGGCTCGCGGATTCTCTGTTTTGTACCACGTGTTCGCTCAAAAACAATGCATTCTCTGTTCTGCATTATATCATAAAAGTTACCTTACAGTACTAAATGTTCCGTCGATTCGAGATCCATTCAGTCTTTGAATTTTCGTGCAGCTACCGCTTTATTAGGCTGCCACCTCGCAGCCTGGCGTCTTCGCGAGGCTGCTCGTTGGCAATGAAGAGGATGAAATGTTTTAAATACCACCTGCTTGCCTTTCACGAGTTTAGAATGCCTAAACACGGTGGTCGGTTGCTAGGGCTTTTCCTCCCAATGCCTCTCAAAACTGAGAGTATTAGACCATAGACAGAAGTAGAATGCATCGAATGTGACGAAACTTGGCAGGGAAGTAGTTTGATAAATTACCTGTTTATTGGTTTTTCTTTCATCCCATGTGACTTCTGTTGTGACGTCATAAATGATGTCCAAATTTGGCATCCGAACAAAAATTCAGGAAAGAAATGGTAAAAATTTTACTTTAGTTTTCTGTATATATAGAATTCTATGATTTCTAGTGAAAACCCCATCTCAATCGGATAAAAAGGAGTAAAGTTACAGCTAATTAAAGAAAATTGAAATTTCCCCCAAATGACCATATATGGTCAAAATTAGGGGTATTTTAAACGCGAGAACATTGAATGTATTGGAACATGAGCAAGGACAAAGTTACTTAAAATCAAAGTTGTAGTTTTTTCTACTTAGGGTATGTGGTGCTATGACACGTTTTTCGTCTCGAAATACGTCATTTTGACGTCACAATGACGTATTTCGTGACGTAAACGCGTCATAGCAGCACATAAGTAAAACAAAGTAAGTAGAAAAAACTACAATTTCGATTTTATGCAACTTTTTCCTTGCTCCTGTTACAATACATTCATTGTTCTCGCGTTTAAAATCCCGCTAATTTTGACCATACATGGTCATGTGGGGGGAAATTTGATTTCTTTTACTAGCTGTAACTTTACGCCATTTTATCCGATTGAGGTGGGGTTTTCACTATACATATTCTTTTTGTGTAGCAAAAATGTCTGTAATGTTTGTTTATAACACTGCTTTGCAAGTTTTTAATGTTGTTACTAAAAATAGGCGTCACTTATGACGTCATACTTTCAAGAGACGTCAAAATACCTTTACAATGGTAAAAATTTTAAGACAATTTTTCTCTAATTAAGATGTTTTAATGTCTTGCTTCATTTGGAATATAAAATACTGCTCTTTGAGCCAAAAATTGAATTTACGAAGTTGCGGGAGGAAAAGCCCTAGCAACCGACCATCGTGAAATTTTTCCTTTTCCCGCCGGGAACCATACCATACCCGAGTGTTCGGTTTAGTCCTCACCCACTCCCAGAGAACTTAACGCAATCATGAGTTAAAGCAAACATTCAGGGCGTAAAAGGTAAAACTGAATAATAATAAATAATTACTAGACGCCGGTTTTGGATCCAAATTGAGTATCTTTACTTTCGTTGTTAAGTTTGGGATTCAAGGACTTAAAAAAAAACGATGTTAATTTGATTTTAAAGAACATTTTAAAGAATTCTGCTAAGTTAATTCCCTTTTAAGCTAAAAACTAATCCACACCGCAGTAAAAAGTGAAATAGCCCTTTCTTTCAAAGCTGGCCAAACATTTCAAGTGAAAGTGTATTATAATAACACTCCAAAGTAAATACGTTTTAGCAGATGCTAACTTGTTTCTTTCATTGATTGTTCTTTTTTCCCTGCACTGACACCATGAAGACCTTTTTTACTGTCCTTCTGGTTGCAATGGTCCTTGGAACGACATCAGGTAAATGAAACAATCCTACAGCAATCAAAATCTCACCTGATTAGTAAGATCGTTGCAAAGAAGTTAAAAACCACTCACCGCTCAATGACACGTAAACAGCGGCAATGGGTTCTTGGTCGTGATAATAGGAAAAATTGACTTCTTCGAGAAAAACCTGTCACTTAAATGCAGTTTAAAGGAGTAAGTTCTTCAAGAAAACGTTAGCGTGCTCGTGTGAATGAATAGAGCTTTAGACTATGAACTCAATTTATGAATAGCATCAGTTTCGACATGACATTCCGACCTGCTTAACGTAACTGAATATTTCGGAAACAAGTTTTTTTTTTCAAGTTTCGATAAATAATTTTACAAATTAATAACTGCTCAGTATATATTTCATTTTGGTTAAGTTTCTTCTTTCCCTGGGGGAAATGGAGCGTTGAGAATGAGAAAATGTGAGGTGTGCTTTGGAAGCCGGTATAAGCATTCTTTAATTTTTAGTTGGGAATTGAGAAAGTAGTAGGCTTGCATTGCACTATTGTTTTTTGCCATTGCTGTTGATGGGTTTTTTTTATTTATTTATTTCTGTTACTCTTCTTTTTTTCTCTTTTTTCTGTCTCCCTTTATTGTATAGTACGTTACTAATTATTCCAGTAAACAGTGTTTTAAAAAGGAAATTTGATTTCATAACCTTAAAAACCAGCTGATTGTTTCCAGCCCGATCACAGTCATTCGTTTTCTTCGAAGGATAATTAGGGCGTTTTTATTAATTTCTTTCAGTAAATAAAAAAACTAATTTTTAACGAAAATGTCTGTACAGCACACAATTCTTTGCCAAACTGTTCAAACATTAACTCGGAAATGCACAAGAAATTTGCTTTGTTTCGCTCATCTCTTTAGAATGATCTGAAGAAAACAAGTCATAATAATAAATAATTTCAAACCAATCTGTATCACTTGACGAATGGAGTTCTTGTATTATTTTGCTTCATTTCACTTCAATTTTAAAAGTGACCCAGTGAAAAACATTGGGTTGAATAAATTATTCCAGATAAACCCTTAATCATTAATTTTGGTTTTGTTTAAGTTTATTTTTCGGATATTTTCGTTTCTTTCCAAGGTTTCAATACGAAGTTTATAAGTTGCTCAGTAAATGGTTTATCTTCTTTAATTTGAAAAAGAAATTTATGAAATATAGGCATTACGAAAAACTCGCATTAAGATGGCTTACTACAGTTTTCGGATGAAAACTATCGACGCTTATTGATTCACTGCAACACCTTGAATTTCAAGACAAACCTATCCTAGCTACGAACTGGTCAAAAATCCGCGCTACAACATTCACTGTTTTGACGTTATACTAATGTTTCTAAGCAAGATTATGGCTCTTGTTCCAAATTAATGCGGACAATACATATATCCACTCAGTGTGAGTATTGTCAATGTTTCACACTCAAAAGATGCGATAAAAAAGCACTAAAAGTCCAATTGTATCGAAAACTGTATCGAAACACCTTAAGAATGACTGTTGCAAGTATGTCGCGCACAATAAAAGACAATGAGCACGCGAAGTCGTCGCCGGCAACTTTAAATGTTTAAGTTACACTCTGTAAGTTTTATTGTGCTTGTACGATTCACACCGCAGACTTTACTATGTATAATAAACTCTAAACTTCTAGTGCTTTGCAAACTGTTTAAGGACATTGCTACAATAATTGTTTGAAATGTTACCTTTGTAAGTCATCTGCTACTCATTACAAATTTAATTAACTGATAATGTAACTATACAGTAAAAAAGTACATGTTAGGTTTACGCCGATATACCAAAATTTTCGGTAATTTTACGGCACATATCGTCAGGAGTTTCGATACAACCATATAACTTTAATTTGCCGCTCCCTTGGAATATCGTTATATCGGGTTCCACTACATCATGTTTTCGCGCGATTTCATTGATGACATTCGGATGGTATGGGAGGCGGATTCATCGTGACGTTATTGTTTATGTTCTTTTGTTCATTAGAATTCGAGTTAAACCATAGATGACGAAGCCATGTAAACAATTGATAGAGCTGGTTAATTTAAGCAGTTTTTGCTATTTTCAGCTCTTTGCAATCAATAAAAAAGAAAATAGCAGCAATCAAAAACTGCGAAATTGCTCCCTGGTTGGCAAAAGTTGTAAATTTTGGGGCTTTTGAAAAAGAGACTGTTCTAGATAACTGAAATTGTTATGCTCGTTCAATATTCAGAAATTTTATTTTTATAATTATTAGCTTCATCAGATAACGGAAAAAAATGTAAACAAGGATGGGGGGTTGCCTAATATAGATAGATAGATAGATAGATGCTTTATTGTCTTAATACCTTGCAGCCATAGGCTGAATTACGAAAGACATTACAATAAAAGGGCATTACAATAAAGACATTACAATAAAAAAAAATAAATAAATAAAAATAAAAAAAGTATATAAAATATAACAATAAAAAGGTAAAAAGTATAAAATTGCTACTATAACTAACTAATTAAACACTACTAAGCGCAGAAAACGTGACTAAAAATGAAAAAAATGATATAATAAAGCCCCTTCCACACGCACTTCTCTTTGTTTGAAAACGGGGAATTTCCTCGTCGATTAGGCCTACTCTCCACGCGGTCACTGAAAACGCGTCTTTCAAAAACGTTCTCCAAAACCAGCTTCTTGCTTTTCTTGTGGACGAAGTTTTCGAAAACGAAAATGTCATGTCATAGAGCGCATGCCCTGTAAGGGATAGTTTACAGTACAAAGCTTGCAGTGTTATTTTTGCCAGAGTGCTGTGTCTATAGAAGACTGTTCTTCTAGGCAGCTCAAGATTACATGTCCTAGTCATCTAGAGGAACCCTTGTGTGCTGAAGTGAAAATAAAAGCAATTACAAATGGAGGAAAAGAAACCTATGTTTATACCAGAGGTAAGGTTTTACTGTTAAATAAACAATGACGGGAAAACATATTGCACTGATCAATTCTTGAACCGGACAAAAATTTTCGATGAACTTACTTTAGAAATAATTTGTTGTTTAATGGCATTAATTCACCCCTTACAAAAAATGTAAAATTCTCGATCGACTGAATTGCCGATTTATCACCCAATTTGGCATTTTATGGCCAGACTTGGTGGTTTTTTTGCTCAAAGAAGGATTTCCTCAGAAAACATGGTACTTTGTATGGTCTTCTCGTATGTTTTTCTTTTTTTGGATTATTCTCAGCAACAATAATCACTAGCAATTGCAACTAATTCCTGTTGTAGTTATTTGGCGGAATGATATTGCGCAGTTCATAAAACTTTAAAACAACCCAAAAAGCTTTTTTCGCATTGACTGCATTGATTATTGCCAATTTCAGTGATCATACAGCACGTAGCTAGTTTCCTAAATAATCTGGTACTTTTTACACACAGATTGTACTGCGAAGCGGTTCTGCACGGAGGTAAACTCATGTGGAATGAACTGTAATTTAAAGTGTTGCAGCGATGACTTATGCAATGGTGGAGACGATGGAAAAGGTGGGTTTTCGCTGATAGGCGGGAATTTAAAAAGTGATTGTCTAATCGCTATTGGACTTAAAAAGCGCCGTTTGATGTTCGCCCTTTTCAGGCATAATGAGGCAAAACGTTAACTAAAAATAATGTCTTGTACAAGCTTTACCTTTTGATGTCTAGTTCGTGGGCTAAAAAAAGGCTTTCCGAGTTAGGACCTAAATTGCGTTATTTCTTCTCCTCCCTAATCTTTTGACTGGGCGTTCATTTCGCCCGGCGTGATTTCCAGTAAAAGTTACAACTGAATATGCTTTGCGTACAATAACAACTTATTTCATTACATCTAGGCTAGGGCCGCGCCAGATCTGTGAATTAAAACAACTTTTGCATCAGCGGATTTTTAAAGGGTTATTCATGCTGTTTGCTATTTTTTTCTTTAGTTGGGAGTTGTTGCGTCCGTGCCTTTGCACGTAGCTAAAAGTTTGACCGGTTTCAAGCTCGCAACAACACGCAGCAACATGCAACAGGGTGTACAAAACAACATGTAACATGGCAATGTTTAGAGTTGTTGGCCAACAATGTGCGTCCGGTTTGAGATGTCATGATGTTACTTCATGATGACGTCACCGTTGTAGGCAGGGCTTCTGCTTTTGCTAATTGACAATTCACGTATTATAATACACATGGATCAGATTGGGGGACTTTTGCTTTAAAAACTAATTTCTAAGCAATGTATTGTTTTTTTTTTCAATCCTTTTATATTGTAAATCAAAGCCGACCTCTCTTTGACGGTAACTGACATGTAAAGGTTTTGAAACGCAAAGTGCCTGTTTCTTTTTTTTTAAACTCAACAGACTGAAAACTGTCATTATACGACTGATTTATTATCCTCTATGTTATCCACTCATCCAGGGAGCTCTAAAAAGAGGCAGGATGGAAGACGATTCTTCAGATTGAATGATCTCCTTGAAGGAAAGTCTCGATGAAGGAATGTCGCTGCACTCGTTGCACCCATCGCGTGGGGCTTTTTTCTGCCGAAGAATTATCCTAGTTGCAAGAGCTTAGTTTGTTTGCTTTATAAAGCAATTAAAGTGAGCGTCGTGTAGTTTGGAATGGTTAACAAATGATAGCAAAAACATTAAAAAAAAAATAACGAAAACCGTCCTTTTGGTGTAACGATGTATTGGTCTTTGATTTCAGACATGTGCCCTGATAACCCAATGAATTTTGGGAGTAAAAACGACGACAAACGACAATTTGTCTCTTCACTACGCAATGACCAAGTGTTTTCGTTGACATGATCGATTTAGGTTTATTTCCTGATTATATCTACATAAATATTTTTAGTTTCATGTCAAGTTCACCCACAAGAATGTTTTGGTACAGTTCTTATCAGTTCCATTTCCTAATTTAAGAAATAATCAACTTGAATCTGGCGTTTGACGTTTATCGTCAACGAGATTCTAAATCTCTTTTTTTGTTTACTATAGGTAATTCCCTTGTTTTGTACTGCATAACATTAGTGCGACACTATGGGGACGGTAATTTTCGCCGAGCGAGCGAAGAGAGCTATAAACAAAAGTCTATTTGTCGTCCACATGGTTTCCACAGGGATTGTGATAACTCTTCCCGGCGAACCTTGAAACTCGCCCCAGTCCCTTCGCGCAAAATGATAGTTTGAAGCCCATACTGTCCCTTTAGTGTTATCTTTTTGCGATGAAAAGAGAACAGTGAACCCGTCTTTTATTCGAGTTTTTAACTCGAATCCTCTAAATTTGGTGGATATAATAAAAAGGAAATTGCGAAATTCCGCCGGTGTTCATCTTAAAATAGCCGCGCCAAATAGAAAGGCATGGATCCTTATTCGGTCAGTTAACGTACCTTTTAACAACCTCGTCCGCACGAGGTTAACCTTAAGTGGACTACACTTGTATATGGTGATCAGTAGAGCTGCTACATACTAATAAAACCGTCCAGCTTTAAGGGCACATTATGGTTGTTTTTTGGGGGACATACGGAAAGAAATTTGGGTAGAAAAGGTAAACTATACACATAAACCAGTTAGTCCGATAATGAGCTCAGAGGCACCTTGTATTGTTAGTGGAGTAGCTGGTATTTGTCTACAAATAATTCTATTCATATTTTAACTTTAAGTATCCTCTACGTACAACATTTTCCAAATTTCAATAATTTTAAACATCTCCCCAAACGTTTGTTCAATAAAAAAATGAAACATTTAAAAAACATCCAAAACTTCTCACACATTCCAACCAATTACTACGGCCATTTGGTTAAATGAAACCTCGGTTAGATTTGGAAGAAAAAGGGTGATATAAGCGAAAAACAGGACTTTTGACCGAATTCCCCCCTTTATGGCATAAATTTGAATAAAAGCGAGCCCAAAAATCACTCTAGCGAAGGGAGCTGAAGGTAAAAAATAAAAAGAGACAAGGAGAAGGGGAAAAGCAGCTTGGTTTTTACTAGCTACACTCTTAGTTTTTCTTAGTCTTTATTTTGACTGACAAAAAACTGCTTAGCGAAAAAGGTCTATTTTGACGGTAACATTTTTAAAAATTTACCAGAAATCGACTCGTCGAATTTAATCTGAGTTATCCCGTGATGGGCCGTTTGTCTTATCAAATTTAGCATCAAGAAATGTTGTTCATTGGCAATGCAGCTGTGTAATAAAATTTAAAAATTGGAAACGTTTGAGTTTNAAGGTAAAAAATAAAAAGAGACAAGGAGAAGGGGAAAAGCAGCTTGGTTTTTACTAGCTACACTCTTAGTTTTTCTTAGTCTTTATTTTGACTGACAAAAAACTGCTTAGCGAAAAAGGTCTATTTTGACGGTAACATTTTTAAAAATTTACCAGAAATCGACTCGTCGAATTTAATCTGAGTTATCCCGTGATGGGCCGTTTGTCTTATCAAATTTAGCATCAAGAAATGTTGTTCATTGGCAATGCAGCTGTGTAATAAAATTTAAAAATTGGAAACGTTTGAGTTTAGATAATATAGAGAATGCGTAAATTTGTTATTTACAGTATGTTCACAATAATCCTACACAAACATTTGAATGGAATGGTCAGTTTTTTAAAGGATCCTGAGTAATCCTCATCATTGAATCGAATTATTTTAAATAAATTTGTCCATCCGTTATATGCGTCAGGGCATGTTTCTATAAGAATTCAGTCATAAAGAATCTCGAAAAGAATATTCATTAAAAAAACAGGCTCCATAGAAAGGGCATTTTGATCTTCAGTTTTAACTGAGATGAATCAGAGCCGGAATGGTAACCACTGCGAATGCCATCAGGCGTTCTCTTGTAATTCGGGAGAGAGCAAAAGTTGAAGGAAAAGGGAAGTGGGACTGGTTAGATAATGATTACCCTGCCAGCAGAGGTCTCTTTCTTGCATGGCTTTTAGCGTGTACGAAGTCGTTGGCGTCGCTTGTCACAATCATACTCTTCGAGCAGAAGTTTCTCTCTTGCATGGCTTTTAGCATTTAAGGAGTCGTTGGCGTCGCTTGTCAGTCGAGTAGTTGATTTATTTTATTCTCTCGGAGGAATACAAAAAGCCATGCAAGAGAGAAAGCCCTCGCCAAGTACATAATGATACCTTTAAGTGCACACAATAAATTAATTGTTGAAGCAACAAGAAGTTAACATTTCATGGCAAGTGAAAATAACAGTTTTTGACGGGTGTATATGGACCGTTGTATAATGTGTTTATTTTACATAGACCAACATAAACCATTGAATGGAAACAAGGTTAATTCACTCACAATTATTTCATCCAAGCTGTGTAACACGATCGAAATTTAATTCGTGTTCTTGAATTACTAAAGTAGAGGAAATGGATTGTTAATGGCTACATTACCTGCAAAAAGACAGCGATGTTTGAAGGCCACAGCAGCTGCATAACCAGTTACGTTATGAGGCCGTGTGGTAATTTGTGGCAATTACTGAAGACGCTCATGCAGTTTAAGAGAACTGTTTTAAAACAAAAGTACATAACTATGATTTTACTATGTACTGGCACAAAAAGAGAAGTATTGCGGCTAGAGTAAGGGAATGAGCTCCGCTTGGGTTAATGAAAATATGAATATGCTATGTATAAGCTTCTACAATCCGGGGATACAATGCTGCTATCAAAGTTGATGGTAGTGAAACATGACCCTGGTCATGATCTAACAATACAAAAATACAGCATTGTTAGTAAAAGTAAGTATTTAATTACCTTTAATGGCTCAAAAAGCCACCGCGATAGTTCAAATAATAGGAGAACAAAAAGAACAAAACCACCAGCTTTCGAAGTCAAATTCAGCAAGGCAAATATAACAAATGGTTTTTTCGTGGGTGTGAAGAGATATTTAAATTTCAACTACTACTTAAAGCAGTAATCTATCTCTCTAAACTAACTCAAATCCTGCTTTCCTTAGCTAACAGTTACTGCTCATCATGAAAGGAAGCTTGGTTCTCACTATTTTGTGGTTTGTATCAGCGTTAGCTTTTTCTCCAGAAGGTATGACATTTCGATATGAACCGCATAGGCAAAGTATTGTGATCGCATGACATATTTATATTTAAGCTACATAATTGGCACTTAATTTCGCGATTTTGGAGAAACAGCATTTCGCAGTGTTCTTTGATTTTCGCGATTTCAATGAGCAGACAGAAAAAAGGGCATTAAATTTCGTGATTCAAGCGTGCTCACTTTTATTTCATTTTTCACAAAGTTTAAGCTTTTAAAAATTTCTGGATAAACTGACACAAGAAGGTGAAGATGAACGCAAGATTCTCTAATCCATGATGTGAAATCTTTGTAAAATATTCCTTATTTTAATTACATAAGATCGGAAGATGCAAAATGAAACTCATCAGTAATTAGAACCAGTCAATAATTTGGGTATTTGTCGAAATATATCCTGAACACGGTTGTTGTTATTACATGTTTATTAATCGGATTTTTTCACCAGTAATTTTCTATAGGAGCATATAAATATTGCGTATTTAAAATTTTGCGAGGATTTTGTATCCTCCTTCGAGTAAGCAAATTTACACTAAACTGTCCATAGAGAAATAACATGTGAACATTAAAAATTGCATGTCTAGCGACAGCTTATTTTAAGTGCAAAATAACTCTTGGATGACCCGTACAGGAAAAATATGAGTAAAGCTAGTGTCACAACCTCGTCGCCAGGGCGCTTTTCCCTGGCTTTGGAGGTGGGGCGGGAAAAGGCCCTGTCATCGGCCGGTCACATGACCTTCAAACACCCAGAATTTGTGGATGTAATAAATTAGGATACGATCGCATTCGATGCGGTAAACAAAACATCGAAGATGGCGGGTAGGCTAGAGTTTTTATCAGCGCTTCGCCGGGTCGGATTTTCCCTGCGTAACGGTAACATTCCACCTTCAAGTTAGGTGTTTCGAATCTATCCTGAAAGGCCAGGTTGTTATTCGAGTCTTCCCAACTGGATCTGGCAAGTCGATACTATTTCACGGCCGTACCGTTCTCGCCAATATAAAGAACAACTTATTAGTTGCTCCCTAAAGTTGCTCTTTTAAAAGCAACAAAGCACAAAGCAAACCGGCAACTAATGAGGTTCGTTTGGAGAACCGAAACCACAATTCTCCATAGTTGAAGCAGCTTCAGTTTAAGCTGCACTTCATTCTTATAATTTTGGACCTGTAAATCACTATCCGTCCTGCAAAGAAAACCGCAACAAGCTGGGTGTGAGGCTCAACGTTATACAGCATTGCAGAAAAAACATTATCGTCCTCAGAAATTGTTATACCAGAGATTTTATAAAGTTTCGAATACAGATTTTGATAAGCCGGCCTTGCTGAATATTCGAAGCATATAGGGACTCTCATAAGAACCACCACATAGCTTGCAAACTGGATTTCTGGCAGAAATCTTCGTTGGAGTGGACATTTCGATTTCGGTATAAAGGATAAATTATTTTCATTTGGCCATTTTCTTACATTAATTAGCTAAATCAATCAACCAATCAAATTGACGGATTGACCAGCCGATGCCAGGGCCTTTTCCCGCCCCGCCTCCAAAGCCAGGGAAAAGCTCCCTGGGGACGAGGTTGCTAGTGTCAAAGAATAATGAAAAGCATTATGACTGAAATATATTTCTAGGTATCGAAGTGTTGATAAAATGCTATGGTTGGACCATCCAAAGAGCCATGGGTGGAGTTTAGTTCTCAGGGACAGCGGCTCACTATCTCTTGATTAAGATAGCTATTCAATTAGGCTTCCTTGAGATAGATTTCCTTAACGTAATTTTTAACTTAGACAGTAAAACTTTCTTTTGCATGAGATGTTTCCGAGGGATAGTTCTGAGCAATGGATTTTGAGTAAAGACTGCGAACTCTCCCCATGCATGCTGTAAATGCTCGCCAATGATTTTATTAAACTCAGGCAATGCTTTTCACATGATCACACGTACATGCACCTTTTTTGCCATTAACATGATCAGATGTAGAGATAAAATATTTTAGTAGGATGTAGAGATGAAATATTTATTAAGATGAGATGCCGGGTTCAAACTCTCGATACAATTATTCTTTATTATTCTTTTTTTAGCTGTTAAAAAATCTTTGTATGGCCACTTAATATAATTGGTTGCTTTTTTGGTTTAATATGCAGCAAGTACAAGTAACACGCCCTGCTTTTCAAGGAAGCTTTTTAATTGGTCATTGGTAATTATTTGTGTCTTCCGAATCCAGTAAGCTTAAAATTCTCTTTCAACCCTAAACAGAGAATCTGTACATCAGAGGAGATGATGAATTAGTTGAAGGCGACATGAAGTTTTTGCCAGGCTTATCAAGAGGTTCAGTTTCTACGCGACTTTGGCCCAATGGAGTGTTTGTCTATGATATTGAATCGTCATTAGGTGGGTAAGGTGAACTGCAAAAGGGATAATGCCATGCTTTCGTATTTGCATGAAAATCCATAAAAGACATGACAAGCTAATATTCCAAACTGTAGAAGATTGCGTTCGACAAAGGAGAACGCATACAAATATAGAACTAATCACGAAGTTTCGTAATATTTCTATACAGTAAAGAAAACTAATAACACCATTAAGAATCCTCTTTTACAATTTTTCAAGGGCCACTTAGGACACTGAGACGTACTTGCAGTTTGGTCATTGTACTGTATTCACGGTGGTGCTCATTGATTACAATCAATCAGAAGAATTTTTCCAAGGGTGACAAATTAAATACCTGAGAGAAAATCAAACGTTTTGGTGATAACTAAATCGGTACATTTGAATCCTACGCAGAAAAAAATTGTTCTTTCAATCAATAATACTCTTTTTTTAATCATTAAATCTGTTTATTTTAATATTTACTCTTTTTAGATGACCCTACGGCAAAATCGCAGATCGCAGCTGCGATGAACGACTGGACCACCCGTACGAAAGGTTGTATAACATTCAAAAAAAGAACCAATGAAGCCGCCTATGTGTCCATGTTCAGGGGGAGCGGGTAGGTTTACTCCATTTACAAGTAACAAAACAGTGTTATGACGCGCATTTGCTTTCACATCACTCTACTGACGTTTTCGATAAATTCAATTGTCTTTCAATTTCACACTGGAGTGTGGCAATCATTATTTTTTCTGGATGAATCATTAATTTCAATTAGAAAGTTTATTTTTAACTTTTATGGCAAATATGATTTTAATGCTGGTTACTCGAGGTAAGATGTCTAAGACGTCGTCTTCCTGTATCATTATTTTTCCTATTTACTTGAAACGTAGAGTTTTTGTAAACAATTGCTTTCAAATTTGTTTGTCATAAATAAACTTCGATTTTTGGGCCAAATTTTCTTGTTAGAAAACTCTGAGTTCACGAAACGGCTTCTTCTACACCAATAAACGGGATTTTTAAACAATCCATCGAGCACAAAACTCAGCCACAGTAAATGGAAAAACGCCGTTTTAAATCCTTCCAAGTTTTTTCTTGCCTTAAAAAAAAGTCAACCCTAGGATTTTGTCGACTTTCAAAAGATCGTTCTCTAAAAAATGGGATTATATTATATTATATTATATTGTATTATATTATTAATATTGTATTAAATTATATTATATTAGATTAGATTAGATTAGATTAGATTAGATTACACTATATTATATTATATTTTATTTTATTGTTATTATTTTTCACGATTACCAAAAAACGTCTCGGAAGATCTTGTGTTCCAACTACAAAAAAAAAACTTAAATGAGCACAAATTTTGTTATAGAACATAGAAATAGGGAACAGATTGCGTGATTAAAGAACGAGAAACCCTCACGCGATACTGGCCAAAATGTAAACAAGATCCCATGACGAATTCACCCAGTATGTTTCATGTCAGAGACTAGCATTACTGGGCAGGCCGAGTCAAGCCACCATAATGGGACCTTGGCTTGACCCTATACCATTAATTAACGTTCCGCGCGGCTTGCATGTTAACCGAGAAAGCTACAAAGGGACCTGTACGTGGAGATCTAGACGCTTAACCCAGTTGTACCATTTTAATTGGGTTTTTTGTACCAAACAGCTGTTGGTCGTATGTTGGAAGAACTGGCAGCAAACAACAGTTATCACTTGCTAGAGGCTGTTGGGGAAAAGGAACAATTATTCACGAAATCGGTGAGATTTAAGAAGCTTTCGTTTTCTCCATTCAAAAATCATATGAAGCAGATGACGGTTATCGTGACTTTGATATGAACCCCGGTATGAACACAACCAGAACAATACATATAACAGTCATTCTCTGAGATGTTTAATATTTGAATTTCGCAAGACTGGCTTGTCTTGTTCTGATTGATCGACTGATGGACACAGATCTAAAATGCGTTTTGAATTTCTGTGCCTTTACGTTAATGCTTGGAAACACTCTGGAAAAGGAGAACAGGTCGTGCATCTTGCCATATTTTTTACTGATTATAGTTGTCTTCTTGCTGACAGGAAGATTCTAATTACTAATTACATTCTAATCATCTCTTCAGGCCATGCCCTTGGATTTCTTCACGAGCAATCTCGACCTGACAGAGACAACTACGTTGAAATCAAGTTTGAGAACATACAATCCGGTAAGGTTTATTGTCCCTTTAGGCTGCGTGCAAACGGATGCATCATTGTTGACCAACAACTCCCAACATTATTGGATGTTACATGTTGCGTCCGTTTGCATACCCTGTTGCTTTTTGTTGGATGTTGTTGCGCGTTGTTGCGCAAAGTTTGAAACCGGTCAAACTGTACTCTTAGCCTCGTGCAAACGGACGCAACATTGTTGGCTTACAACTCCCAACACTGTTGGGGCTTGTTGAGCCCGTTTGCACGTAGCCTTACACTGTAACTGTTCTGCTTATTTATTGTAGTCCGATTAAAATTAATAACATGCTACAACAGCGCATTTTTTTGTCACAAACTTGACGCAACTTGCATGGTCAAAAGTAACCGTTAAAGTGTATACAGATAAAGACATGGGGCTTAAAGATTCACTAAGATTAATAACAGTAAGGACCGTCAGGCATTGTCTCCCCTGTAGCTACAGCTAGTTAACTATCTCAGTCCCACTGGTCAATTTCAGTGAGGGCCTTGACATTTTCGGTGTTCCTGTCGTGAAGGCTTCGTATCTGTCACCATACGTCTGACGAAAATCAGTATGAAGTTGAAGAAGATGTACTAGATTCCTCTCAGGCAATAGACCTTACTCACGATGCCTTTCATTTTCGCACGCGCTTTTAAAAGGACTGATGGATGGGCCAAAATTAACGATGTCACGTGGTTTTTAAGACGGCTATCAAATCAAGTATCAGTCAATGCAAGAAATAGTGGTCGAGTTTGTTTATCTGAGACAACAGAAAATGAAGAACGTTTTATCTTAACCCTATTCAGACAGAGGGGCCCTCGCTAAAAAGTTGAATAACTTCAAAACCGTTCAAGCTAAGACCACCCATCTTAGCGACTACCTAAAATTTATCTGAGAACATATAAAGTCGTGGTGACGTGTACGATAACATAGAAATCAAGTTTGAGAACATACAATCCGGTAAGGTTTATTGTCCCTTTAGGCTGCGTGCAAACGGATGCATCATTGTTGACCAACAACTCCCAACATTATTGGATGTTATATGTTGCGTCCGTTTGCATACCCTGTTGCTTGTTGTTGGATATTGTTGCGAGTTGTTGCGCAAAGTTTGAAACCGGTCAAACTCTTAGCCCCGTGCAAACGGACGCAACATTGTTGGCTTACAACTCCCAACACTGTTGGGAGTTGTTGCGCCCGTTTGCTCGTAGCCTTACACTGTAACTGTTCTGCTTATTTATTGTAGTCCGATTAAAATTAATAACATGCTACACCAGCGCATTTTTTGTCACAAACTTGACGCAACTTGCATGGTCGAAAGTAACCGTTAAAGTGTATACAGATAAAGACATGGGTCTTAAAGATTCACTAAGATTAATAACAGTAAGGACCGTCAGGCATTGTCTCCCCTGTAGCTACAGCTAGTTAACTATCTCAGTCCCACTGGTCAATTTCAGTGAGGGCCTTGACATTTTCGGTTTGCCTGTCGTGAAGGCTTCGTATCTGTCACCATACGTCTGATGATAATCAGTATGAAGTTGAAGAAGTTGTATTAGATTCCTCTCAGGCACTAGACCTTACTCACGATGCCTTTCATTTTCGCACGGGCTTTTAAAAGGACTGATGGATGGGACAAAAACGATTTCACGTGGTTTTTAAGACGGCAATCAAATCAAGTATCAGTCAATGCAAAGAAATAGTGGTCGAGTTTGTTTATCTTAGACAACAGAAAATGAACAAAACATGGTTAGGAACTGTGTAGCGCTGATAAGTTGATTACTGTAATCAACAGAAAATGAAGAACGTTTTATCTTAACCTAATTCAGACAGAGGGGCCCTCGCTAAAAAGTTGAATAACTTCAAAACCGTTCAAGCTAAGACCACCCATCTTAGCGACTACCTAAAATTTATCTGAGAACATATAAAGTCGTGGTGACGTGTACGATAACATTGATGTTACCATGGCAACCGAGTTTTGACAGCCATGTTTTTCAAAATTTGCATTTTCTCTAAAAATAGGGTTTTTTTCTATTTTCACTGATGGGATTATTTTATTTTATAAAAGCTACTGTAACTGTTAATGAAATACAGGCTGTTTAGTGAATTTAATATGACCAAATGGCAGATGCTGAGTTTAATTTTTGACAGTGTTCATTTCTCTGGGGATTTTTTATTTTGCTTTGCTGTTGTTGTTGTCGCCCAAGCATCCTTTTATACTCAGATTACGTTTTCTGTTAAAAATACCTCGATTTATCAGTCGAGAGTTTTAAGTAAAATGGACTAAATTTAGATGATTCAAAATCAGCCGGATTCAAGATGGCGGATACTTCCAGTTCCTTTTTAGTAATAAATGACGTCATCATGATATCACTGCTATTGTTAAAGATCATTTATTTGTTAGCCAACCTCCTTGATTTATTCAGAGACCATACTATTTAATATGCAATTTATAACTACTTTGAGGGAAATTTGAATTCTGCCAATAAATTCAACAATATGACGTCATAATGACGTCAGATTATGTCATCGTGTCAATCAGGTTATGCACAGAAGTTGGAAATGATGATTACATTATTGTGTGTAATTTTTGTGGCCGTAAGATCAGCGGGGGATAGAGGGGGCTCCCGAGACCCCCGGCCCCCGGGGCGCAGGATGCATAAAAGAGGCCCAGTCTGAATAGGGTTAAAGACGATAATGGCAAATTAAGGCTGTAAGTGATCATTTATGGTAATTTTTAGCTCTTTATAGCACGACATTTACCAGAAAACCGCCCGAATAGTTTCCAAACGCGTTTTTTGGCAAAATTTTAGGGGGCCAATGGGTTTTAACCGATCGTAATATTGGTTTCATAAAATATACAAATTCGATTGCGATTACTCGTATTGGCAAATTTTATTACTTGCTTGCACATTGACATACCGCGTGATATTACTTTTATCCCATCGACCCTAAAGCGCGTGCAAAGATGGCGGGTATCGTGAATAAGGTCTATTGGATAATTGAACGGTCACATGTCCACGTCACCAACCAGTGATCTGGTTATGAGGTTAAGTTACAGTGAGTGTTCTGATAGCCGATTTTTACTCGCAAATTATGTTCTCGGGATAGCATTTGAAAAAGTTGTTTTCCTGGCAGTTCGTATCACAATCGAGATCACCAAAGGTTCGAAAGAATTCACTGCCTTCAATGAACTGTTTGCAAGTTGAATTTTAATACAAATGCCTTTTTCGCAATACTCCAGAACTCAATATATACACACGCTGAGCTAACAACCAGTTGTTAACTTTCTAAACGAGATGCTCAAACCAGAAATAACAAAACTTTTCGGTTATACCTTACTTATTAATAGGAAAAGAGGGAAACTTCAGGAAATCAAGCAGCGTGAACTCTTTGGGTACACCATACGATTATGGATCCATCATGCACTATGGAGCGAGGTATTTCTCTAAGAATGGCCAGCCTACAATTGTTCCCAAGAAGGCAGGGGTTAGTATTCAGTAATGGATGGTTTACCGTGTGTGATTCTTCTTTTTTCGTTTTCAAATAACTGATATTGTTATCACATATTACTAGGTTACCATTGGAAATAGGAGAGCTCTCAGTCCCATTGACAGTCGCCAAATGATGTTGCTGTACAAGTGCACTGTAACATCAAGTAAGTACAAACTGTACCCTACCTTCCGTACTAAGCCTTTTGCTAACACCACTTTCATGTTTGATCCTGGATGAGTGACTTATCGAAAATGTAAACAAACAAACTGAGGCGTTTCAAGACTCGAGACTTAAGGGACCTTCAAATCCTACGACGGCGTCGGGAACGAGAACATCAAAACGACACTGCACGACTACGACGTAAAAATGCCCAGTTTCACGTTTTATGGTGTACGTAAACAATCAAAAACGAAATTTTCTTTCTCTCTATGAAATTGGATAAGTCTCTTAGGGATTCAACTCAATTGAGAGTTCCTGTACGTTTTATGAAGTAAGTGATTTGGAATAATCGCGATGAAGATTGTAAATCCACGAATTCACTTTTTAAGCGACGTTTTCGCTGCCGTCGCCGTCCTCGGGCTAATTACCTATGCTTTTTTCCCTAAATAGTTCTTTTTGGTTACGCTAAAACGTCGATTAACGGCAAGAACACACCTCAGGCTTCAAATATCAGTTTTAAACAAATTCTAAACAATTATTAGATGAGGTTTCTGTGATCATACCGAATAATCAAGGTGGAGACAGGTGTTCGGCCTCGGCTAACACTTACCGAGACCTTCATTATTCCGGAGGATCACAAAAACCGAATCTAATGATTGTTTTATAATCATTCATTGTTTTTAGGGGAAAAAAACGACAAACTCACCATCGCACGGAACACGGTTTGACGTTGCTAATGGAAATAATGCATCGCGCGCGCAGCTTAAAGAATAGTGATCACTTAATATGTGCTAGCAGATAACTAACTAATCTGTAGGTTGCTCTGATTTCCAGAAATAACTGTAGGCTCTTAACCAATGAGAGGACAGGTAGCGAGTACAATGCATATGTATAGTAAATTAAATGAACATGCTCTCATTTTTCAACAGCCGCCGCTCCTCCAACAACACGTCCTCCACCAACACGTCCTCCAACAACGTTGCCTACGGGATGTGAGTATTCCAATATCACTCTTTGTCGTTTTATATCAGGGTATTTTATTGCTTACTTTAGATCGTGTTAGGGAATTCCTAATTAAGATCTCACATGATACTGAGCTTGTTCCATTCCATGTCTCCTGGATGCTTTATTTATTTCCAAAGAGACAAATGACGTTACGTCATTTTGTAAGAGGCAATAACCAAATAGAGAGGTGAAGCATCACGTTTACGTCAAACGGTAAACGCGAATTTGTACCACGTGACCAAGACTCCTCTTTATTTGTCGTTTACA